TCTTGATTTCCTTTTCCACTCCCCTCAAGTCACAACAGGGTGGATTCTTAGCAAATCCCACCACTGGTTTTCCCCATACCAAAATCATTTTTGGCCTCCCCTGCCCCTAGTGAATGAATGTCTTGATTCTGTCGGCAGAATATGGCAGCCATTCTCATTTTTTGGGGTTGGACAGTTCCTCACTAACACAGATTTAATTTCTTTTAAATGTTTAGTTTATTTTTTTGTTTTGATTCCTCTGTCGTGAAAAAAAAAATTTTTTTTTTACATATTCAGAAATTTTCATAATCATGGATGTATTATTAGGCCCCCCTGCAGTATTTTGGTACATGTTTGGATTGAATGGAGAGGGATGAGTAGATAGACAATGCTGATCAGTCTTTCCCCCCAATATCCCTTCAGCCATGTGCTATATACAAATGTATAAATTTGTAAAGTAAACAGTTCTTCTTATCTGCCTGTGGAAGGTGTACCAATTCTGGTTTCTATTCCTGTTATACATATCTGGAACAACACATGCAACATTTCTTGTATTACTTACCTGTAGCAAAAGAGAAAAAGCTTCTGTGAATGCAAACAAACATGACAAGCAGCTGCAGCAGCACACATCAGCAGGCAGGTTAGGTTTAGGGCTCCAAGTTCTCCACTAAAGATTGTCCCATGGGACACTTAGCCTCATGGATTAAAATGTTGGTTTGTGAATTTGGATACATAGTAATTGTGAGTTCAATCCCTGGGCTGGGCAGTGTGCCCATGGACTCAGTGGAAACAAGGTGGGAAATAACTGAGCTTTACTATAGATAAGCACAGGAAGAGATATCCCTAGACATGGATAGTGAAACAAGAACAGTATACTTAAAATAATAAAAGGTTACTTGGAATGACATACACATTGTTGGAGGCCGAAACATTTTGATAACAACAAAAAAGTTGTAAGTCACTGAATGGATGCTGTCCATTTCAGGTAATGTCCTTACAAAATATAAATTCACTGGTTTGGTTTGTTGCCAAAAAATTGATCAACTTGTACATGCAAGATACATTTATAAATTTTTATTTAGCATGGACAGTTTCTGAAGAGTTTTTATCTACTCAATTTTATTCACTTGGGTCAACCCATGGTAGTTTGGTTTGGTTTGTTTTATGGCATATCAAACTCAATGGGCCATTTAATGTTGACTTTTTTTTTTTTTGTCCTGGTAATATTTTTGTTTTGTCAAAAATCTATTTTTGTTAATATTTTTTCCTCAAAAATGTATAGCTGGTAATATTTTTTCAAAAACATAGAGCCGGCAACACTATTCTTTAAAAAAAAAAAACAAAACAATAAAAAACGTATAGTTGGCAACATTATTTTTTCAAAAATGTATTATCAGAGGCCTTGCTGTTGGACGTAGTTTATTGTCTTACCCAGGACGTGGATGTAGTTTATCGTCTTACCCAGGACGCACGTATGGTAGAGTTCTCAGGCACAGGTTTTACTTCCTCATGATCAACCAATCACAATGTGGGATAGGGCAGGTCAGGATCAAAGAGATCACTCCATTGATCAGCTGCAATACTAGAAGTCTTGGATGCCAGGGAGAGTATGGAGTTACAGTTGGTTCCCGTGAACCATAAGTCTGAAGCCATTACATGTCACCATGTTTAACTTTTGAGATTTTTGGAGTTTTGAACTGGAGTGTTTGATATTGGCATTGTCAGAGAATAGCATAATATTTTGTCCTGGAATAAAGCTGGTTTCTTGATCTTTGATTTTCTTGTTTTTGTCTTCATGTGAGGTGCCCTGCTTTATCCATGCTTCATGTAACGTGTCTTCCCTTCTCCATGTGAGGTGCCCTCCTTTCTCCACACTTCATGTGAAATGTATCCACCAATGAGTTTGATTTTGAGTTTTGCCAAAGCATAATATTTTTTCACAGAATGAAGTATGCTCTTTGAGATGATGATGATAATGGATAAGCTGCAGACAAGCCTTCAATGTACATGGTTTTCTGAAGAGGGGTCTTTCTAAGATGCTGAAAATGAGATTCTACCTGATAGATTGTTTGACTAATTTTTGTACAAATTTCCAGCAGATATTTCTAAAATTTTCTTTGTGAAAATTTAAATTTTGAAAAGAAATTTTAAAATTTCTTTAAAATTTTCTTAAAATTTTTCAATAATCACAGGACCTACCCATGAGTATATATATGGTAGATGTATATAAAATAATTAGCATATATTAGTTATATTTATGTAAAAAAAAAAAAAAAGGGCAGCATAACTCCCCACATTATAGTGTAACCTATCTGTGCGTCACCCACAAATACCCACTTTGACAGCCCCATCTCAGGGTGTGACCTATCTACTGGTGTGAGCTATCCTGTGTATATATGGTAGATGTGTAGACAACACGTTTGTGTAATATTCCCTGTCAATAAATTATTGCTAGATTTTCTGAGGTGGCGATTTGTTTTGAAGAGATCTTCTACCTAGCTTCGACGTTGAGGACCAGATTTAGGATGAGAAACAAGTTACCACACTTAACAGGGGAAGTTAATAACCCCTCTGTGGGAGACATGACGAACCAGGAGGTGCTTGTCGAAAAAAGCGGATTCATTTCAGAAAATGCGAGACAGACTAGAATAACTGACAAAGAGATGTCGCCATATTTGACCTGTTGGGCACAGTGGACAAGAAAACAACTGTGTATAGTTGTAAAATCTCAGTTCACACCTGGCAACCTGAGAGTGTTTGGTCAGCATCAGTTTACATTTGGTTTCAGTAGTCAGAAATGATCCGATCACAATTCTGTGAACAGGCTATGGGGTTGCTTATAATATTGTTTATATGTAGTCAGCTTGTAAGTCTGGTACTGTAAGTCTTTCGTTCATCTAGGCATACTGTAATATCTTTACAGACCACGAACCCCAGCCATGTAATACAGGCTGACAGTTTCGTTTCTTATGTACACCAAGAGTACCAGCCTTAGTACTGCAATTTGTGTACTATTGAAACAAACCAGTCACCTCAATAGGCCAACTGTTAATTCCCAGCACGTACTATTCATCATATTTGTTTATGGTGACAGTACCTCACCAATGTCATCTGGAGGTAGACAAGCCAACTACTCTCACAGATGAGGTCACCAATTTTGTCGGCAATGTCATTCAGTCAAGGATACCCTTCCATGAATAAACAGAACAACATCAAAGTAAAGACAGTCATACGTTGGTCATTTCAAGCAACATAATATTTTTTGTTAGTTATTAGTGTACTTTACCTGGGTTTATTTTGCTTTATGGCATATCAACACCTCAATGGGTAATTTAATGCTGACAAGATTCTTAGGATAGGTTTGTAATGAATAGAAGATGTACTCTTTGTAAGAAATCAATTTGTAGATCAGCTTTCATTGACGTATTTTTGTAAAGAGATTTTGATGTCATTCTGTTCATTCAGGGAAGGGTATCTTAAGCTGAATGAATGATTGATGACAGCATCTGCTTTGATGATGGTAGTTGGCTTGTCTGCATGCAGATGGCGTTGGTGAGGCACCATCACCACAAACAAACATGGTGGATAAACATAATATAAATTTCAAAATATCCAGGAATAAACTTGATTTATTTTCAGCTGTTATAAACATAAAAAATTGACTGCAAACTACAGATACTACCAGGGGCTCTGTTGCAACAGGTTCCTGAGGAATTTATTACAAACCAAGTGAAGAATGAAAATTCTTCAAAACAGCTTTACGGTATTGGTGTTTCGCAATAATAAACTTTTAGGATGAATTTCTGACATTTTTTTGAGTAAAATTTTATATTCAATCTTGAAAAATAAAAACCAGAAACAAACAAACATTTCTTTTATCACAATGTTTTCGCTTTTGTACTCTTTGGCCTCCGTCAGATGTTTTGCGGATCAGGGAATTTTGAACTGAAACCTTTTATTTAATTAATGGTTGTCTACAGATATCTTGTTCTCTTAAATAAAGGGTCCGGTTTGAAGTTTCCTGAAAGTTATCCATATCAATAGATATCTGAAAAAGGTCCTAGAGTACAACAGCTGAAATATGATAATAACAACAAACATGAGGATATTAGTCTATATTTCTGAGATGAGGTATTATGTACATTATTTACATTATTCAGACTATTGTCCTCATCTTTGTTGCCATATTTATTACAACGTTTCGGCCGTTGTACACTCCGGCCTTCTTCAGGTGGTTGGAATGTCGAACTGAACCCTTTATTTCGTTCCTAGTTCCACGTTTAATGGATGTCAGTTATCTCCTGTTAATTTCCCTCTGAAAGTTCTCCACTGCCTTAACCAGGTATTAAACTCACACTCTTTGGGTCCTGTCACTGGATCTAACCAACACCTTTATCCATTGTGCCATGTGTCCTTGAGGCCCAAAGAGTGTGAGTTCAATACCCGGTTAAGGCAGTGGAGAACTTTCAGAGGGAAATTAACAGGAGATAACTGACATCCATTAAACATGGCACGTGGAACTAGGAACGAAATAAAGGGTTCAGTTCGACATTCCAACCAACTGAAGAAGGCCGGAGTGTACAACGGCCGAAACGTTGTAATAAATATGGCGACAAACATGAGGACAATAGTCCGAATAATGTAAATAATGAGGATATTAGTCAGACTGCAAATAATTAGAACTCCTTATCCCAGAAATTCAGAGCAAGACTTCATTCTTGGTTTTGGTAATAAAAAAAAAAAAAAAACAAACACTGTAGAATTGTTTTCTTTTGTTTTTTTCTCTAACATATAACCTGAAGAATATTACTGTAGCTCTGTTTGTAAGGTGACATGCATAACCTTGGTCTCTGTGCGTAGGTAAGATTGTATAGCACTAATATGACACAGTCTGTAGAATTTTTAGGATTTTTGTTGTACTCTTCAATCACATAAATCACAAAATGTACGTCAGATTTGTTTTTTTGTTCTTGAATTGCTTATTTTGGATCAGTGTAAATCAACCATTTTAAGTTACAGATTCAACACAAGTAGAAACAAATCATAAGAGGAAGGAGGAGAGAAAGAGGAATGGTGGTGGGAGGAGGAGAGAAATCACTTGTAAGAAGGGGCTGGAAGTGGAGATTGAGAAGGATGAAAGAGTAGCAAAAGAAGAGTGGTAGGAGAAAGAAAGATGAGAATGCAAGATAAGAAAGAGGGGGTGGCAGGAGAAAGGGGAAGTAAGCTGGAATAATAGAGAAAAGCTTACAAGACAAAGTGGAGGATATGAACAGCAGATGGAGAGGAGGAGAGAAATGAGAGGAGAAAGGAAATAAGTGTTTAAGGAAATAGAGAGGAGGAGGAGGAAGAGGGGTGAGTAATAAATGACACGTCAGCAAGTGTCTAACACAGTGAAGTGATTTGTAATAAGAAAAAAGAGCTAAATATATTTTCTTACAGTTCAAATCTTAAGTGCCCTTTACACCCTCCTGGGGAAAGAGGAGGAGGAGGAGGAGAAAGGAGCGGAAAGAGGAGGAGGAGAAAGGAGAAGAAAGGAGCAGAAAGAGGAGGAGGAGAAGAAAGGAGCGGAAAGAGGAGGAGGAGAAGAAAGGAGCGGAAAGAGGAGGAGGAGAAGAAAGGAGCGGAAAGAGGAGGAGGAGAAGAAAGGAGCGGAAAGAGGAGGAGGAGAAGAAAGGAGCGGAAAGAGGAGGAGGAGAAGAAAGGAGCGGAAAGAGGAGGAGGAGAAGAAAGGAGCGGAAAGAGGAGGAGGAGAAGAAAGGAGCGAAAGAGGAGGAGGAGAAGAAAGGGAGGAAAGAGGAGGAGGAGAAGAAAGGAGCGAAAGAGGAGGAGGAGAAGAAAGGAGGGAAAAAGAGGAGGAGGAGAAGAAAGGAGCGAAAAGAGGAGGAGGAGGAGGAGGAGAAAGGAGCGAAAAGAGGAGGAGGAGGAGAAGAAAGGAGCGGAAAGAGGAGGAGGAGGAGAAGAAAGGAGCGGAAAGAGGAGGAGGAGGAGAAGAAAGGAGCGGAAAGAGGCGGTGGAGAAGGAGAAGAAAGGAGCGGAAAGAGGCGGTGGAGAAGGAGAAGAAAGGAGCGGAAAGACGCGGTGGAGAAGGAGAAGAAAGGAGCGGAAAGAGCAGGAGAAGTAAAAAAGGAGAAGAAGAATGGGAAGAGGGAGAGAAGAAAATAAAAAAATAGAAGTGGGAAGAGGAAGAAAAGATGAAAGTAAAAAACAGAGGAAGAGATGCAAGGAAAAAAGAGATGGGAAGCATTGGAAAAAGAACTAAAAAAAAAGTAGTGGGAAGAGGAGAATTAAAGAAAAATGTAAAAAGAAGGTGTAGACAGGAGAAACGTTTCAGAGAATGAGTAAAAGAAGAAAATAAGAAAGTTTAGTGAGATGAGAATGTAGATGATGGTGGTAGGGTGAGGGAGTGTTAAAGGCAGAATTTCCAGGGTTGTAGCAGCAAGGGGAGCAAAATTAAGGAGTAGGCTGTGGTATGCAGGAATTTTGAAAGAGGAACTGAAAATTAAAGTTTCTTTTCAGGGGATAAAAACCCTGGAAATTTGTTTGGCATGAAAGCAAATGCCATTTTCAATTATCACAGTTGCCAGAACCTTATAGCTGTCAGCACCGGACAGAGGAGACAGCAAAATCTTCAAAGAGTTCTGGATGTCATGGCGCTGAATCCTGGGAATGCCAGGCAGAGGATGATTCACCAAGGTTTGCCTTTCTCTGCCCTGGCTTGCATGTCTTGATTGTGCAGATGCTGCCATAGAGAAATGCGGAACCATTTGGGTGTCAAGACTTTTTCAAGCTGAACAGTTTCCCAGTTACAGGACAGACATTTCTATTTTTAGCACAGTGGATATGGGTTATAACTCCATTCGGGTATCGTAAAAAGGTGGAATCATGGAAAGTACGATTGCATACAGCACACAGTCTGCAACAAAATAGATAGATTAAATAGAAACTTTGCTCAAATGTGAAAGGATACCAAAAGGTGGATATATATATATATATTATATAATATAGACACACGCACATACACAAAGGATGAGGCAAAAGTCGCACCCAATAGGGGTTAAATGGATAGGTTGAAGAGGTTCTTTTGAGTGGCCATGGAGGTATAGGTCCATATGAAATCAGTTGTTTATCAGACGGGCCCAAGAAATATTGAGGAAGTTAAAAAAAGAATTAAATATGAATGCAGTAAAATGACGGAGGAAATGATGTTCATCAATCATGCTGCCATAGAATTGAAATGTGTTTTGAAAAAAGAGGAGGACATTTTGAACAACACATATAACAATTAAATAACTAGCAAATAAAATGTTCACCTGTAATTATACTTTTAATAAATTATCCCTATAGTGTGCAACGTTTGCTTCACCCTATATATATGTGTGTGTGTGTGTGTGTGTTATCATCCATAATAAACAAATAAGCAACATTAAAAATAATAACAAAAATATATATCATACAGAATCCATTTTAAGTATACAAAACCCAGATGGATAGTATATATGTGTGTGTGAGAAAATATCCTGTGAACAAAATAAATGAACAGTCTATAAGTTGACACCAACCTCACAACCCACCACTTGGGGACAAAATTCGCTAAATAATTTCAACACTGAAAATCAGCGCCCAATTATGTATGTATACACTCAACGACACATGTATACATATCTGCACCCAGTACCACACTGTTCATATATGTATATGTTTCGTATGAACTGCAATACATACGTGTGACTGTGTGTGTATGAGTGTCATCCTGAGAAGGACACAGAGGAGAATTTTTCCTCCCACTACTGGCAAACAATGAAAATATGCAACCATAAATAGATTCAAAATTAATCAGTTTGTCTGATGATTGCAAAAGGCGTGAAACACAGGGTCCTAAACGCACATCAATCCAACTAAATATGTTAGTTCTATCACTGATATTGAGCACTTTCCTATAAGTACCACACATATATAATATATAAATAATATATATAAGAATTGCACACACGCACATTATATATATATATATATATATATATATATATATATATATATATAGTTATATTCTGTGCTTATAGAAATATATACTTGAAAAACAAGGTGGATAAAATAAGTAAAGGTTTATTGTAAAAACCAGTACAATAAGAATAAAGGTAACAGTTATGCACAAGGTCATTGCAATAGCAGTAGTGGGTACTGCTATTGGAAGGTCGGTAGTTCTTGTGTAAGTCTGAGTTGTACTCAACAGATCCCAGCAAGACTCTGTTGTCCATTGACTTACAGATATTTATTGGTAGTTACTACCTATAATGTAGTCACTCTGGGGGTGACAGGTTATTCCATTACATCATTATATATATATATATATATATATATATATATATATATATATATATATATATATATATGTATTGTGTGTATTTAGGCAGCATTTTTCATTTATGCATGTTTCATTAAATAATATAGACAAGTTTTGTCTGTTTATTTTAAAGTAAGTTCCTTTCATAATGTCTGAATAGCTTAATAACATTATCATTGAAAGATGAAAGGAAATCACCATATTGATACATGTATTTTTACTCCTATCTAAGCTTTCGGCTTACTCATGCAACAAAAACAGACTATCATTATTGCTTTGTTCAAGTATGGTTTAATATATCGAAATGTAATTGTCATCTCTCGTGATGGCTTATGTAAGCCGAAAGCTTAGATATGATTAAAAAACATGTATCAATATGGTGATTTTCTTTCATCTTTCAATGATAATGTTATTAAGCTATTCAGACAATATGAAAGGAACTTACTTAAAATAAATAGACAAAACTTGTCTATATTATTTAATGCAACATGCATCTCTCTCTCTCTCTCATATATATATATAAAAACTTTCTTTCTTTCTTTAATAAGGGTACTAAGAAGCTTGTCTGTGAATACGAGATCATATTAAAATAAGTAGAGAAAACTTGTTTAAATTATTTAATGAGATATGTCTTAATGAAAACATGCTTGATATATATATATATATATATATATATATATATATATATTTTACATTAAATGCTATTTTAGTAGATACTATGTATTTGAAATAGACAACTCATTAATATTTATTAAACAGTATGTATTATGTCTAGCAGTCTGTGCATTCAAAAAAATCTAAATAAAGAATCCTTTACTAAGATTTCTCCCTCTTCCCATCCGGTTTTTCTCTCCCTCTTCCTATCCCTTCCCATCCCTTTTCTCCCCGCTCTTCTCATCCAGTTTCTCTCTCCCTCTTCCTATCCCTTCCCTCTTTCCCATCCCTTTTCTCCCCGCTCTTCTCATCTGGTTTCTTTCTCCCTCTTCCTACTCTTCCTATCCCTTCCCTCCTTCCCATCCCTTTTCTCCCCGCTCTTCTCATCCAGTTTCTCTTTCCCTCTTCCTATCCCTTTTCTACCCACTCTTATTATCCGGTTTCTCTCTCCCTCTTCCTATCCCTTCCCTCCTTCCCATCCCTTTTTCTAAGCATTCTAGAGAAATCTTAGTAAAAAAATTTCTCCATTAAGTTTTCTAAAATCCAAATGTGTAAGCTGAGAGACTAGACATAGATGGATCAGATGCTGGTTTCTCCTTCAATGGAGAACACAGGTACGAATCCTGTTGGAGGTAACATTTTCTTTAATAAGCTTTAAGTGTACAAGCCGGTAGATGAAATAAATACTGTTTAAAAATAAAATGAATCATCAATTCAAATACAGGTATCCTCTAAAAAAATAATGTTTGAAGTCATAAATATGAGGTCGGATTAAAAACTATCAAAACTGTTACCATAGTAATGGAACTAAAATACAAAGAGTGGAGCCAATTGACATAGACTGGCCTCAAATTCTGATGCGCATATGCACCGTTATGACATTCTTGCTCACTTCAACTGTTTATAGCAGTGCTTGGAAGGAAGTGTGTAGAGTGTGGTTGTTTCACCACACCACAGATATTTCATTTGTAATCATGGCTTTATCACCAAAAGCTCAATAGTTGAGGTAAGCTTAAAGAACACATTCAGTAGGCAATGAAGGGAGATAACTCCTAGAATGATCCAAAATGTGTTTCATAACACTAATGATAGATTTGAAATTTACATACAGATGGAGCACATGTTGAAAATTTTCAATAAACTTTTGACGTAAGATTTATAAATCTATTTGTTTTGTATCATAATTAAGTAATGAACATAAAATGATGTCATTTTTTTTTTTTTTTTAAATTGCTTGATTTCATTGAAATCGTTCATTCTGGGACTCCCTGTATATTAATAGACACCTTTAAAATGTCTGTTTTTAAAGACATAATAAAACTCTATACACCCATGGATTATTTGAAGTTGAAAGAGAAACCAGGGATCAGGGTTGAAATTTTAACACGAGACCCTGAAGATGAAGTTCTACAAACCCAAAGTACAGTCTGAAATTATGAACATCATAGTGAGATAGTGAATAAATTCTCTGAAACTGGGACATCAATGCTGGCACACCAACTGACCTGTCTTCTGTCATGCAAACAGATTCCTTCTGTAAATCAATGCAATTATGTTTCATTTGCAATGCCTCCCATCGGGCTAACATTCGTTCGATCTTTTTGGTGCGACAAAGGTTCATGCTTCGACGGACTGAACGTGAGAGGAATTGGGAGAGCAGGCCAACTGACCAATTTTCTGGAAGCAACTGTAGCACCTACAAAACACGTAAAATAGATAATAATTTTCATATCTACTTTGGATGTGCACTGATCATTACATACACATTATGGATAATTTATGAAAATCTATATAAATGAAAGATATCAACAGAAATTATATTAAAAGTTATATAATTTAAATTTGATACACCAAATAAATTTTCTTAAGTTATAAGAGAAACATCATTAAAACATTTTTATAAGCTGATCAACCTCAAAGTAAAACTTATAAAACAATATTTCAATGAAGAAAGTAACTAAAGTAGAATTTAGTCAGCTTATAATTTACATAAAAAGTCAAATTTAAATGTTCATTTAAAAATTATATCAAATTATCATGTTACAAAGTTTCATCTAACATCTATAATAATTTATTTAAATTTTAATAGCTTTCAAGTAAGACACTTAGAAATTAAAATTATTTTTACACCCCAAGTCATGCGTTTACAACTATGTCTGCATGAAGGATATAAATAAAATAGTTAAAAAAAAGATTAATTTCCTGCTTTTCAAGACATTTGTATCCATACAAGCCAACTCAATAGATTTTTAGTTATTCACCAAAAATATAAGTGACTTTTGTTTCCTGTTCAATCATACTTTATTTTTGTCTGCTTTTCTTATTAAAGAAATATTAAAACAAAATATTTAAAATGACATAATTGAAGAATAGTGAAAGAATTATTTGAAAAATTTTTAATACTTCTTCATTTATTCAAATACTAACACTGTATCATTACTACTTCCACACACACACACACACATATGTATACTGTGACAATATTTCATGGCACACTAGTTTATTTACCATGACACTATGGTTGAGAATCACTGTGTTAACCAATTAGAGACATTTTAAAACAATTGCTTTTTCCTTCTTTTCAATCTTCTGTTTTTCTGAATTCTGTTCTTTTATTGTCCTTTTTCTTCATTAACATTTTCTCAGATTCTTTCCCTTTCAGTAACCCCCTTGTGTGTGTCTTAGTGGCTTTATTGCCTTGTTTGGGGCAACATGCCAAAAAAAAAAAAAAAAAAAAAGTATTTTTTGATATCTTGTAATTCCTACAGAAATAATGCATGTGCACCATCACATTTTAGTCCCAGAAGTCTAGAAGTAATCACCTTTTGTCAACAGAGAATTGCAATTTTTTTTGTTTTACATCATTTCACTCCCAAGCAAAATGATAAAGCCACCAAGATGCAAGGGGCTACTGCAAGTGAAAGAGAATGAAAAGATTTTAGAAGGAACCAGGAACAAAGGATAAACTGCTACTTCTGTTTAAAAGACTGTGTAAGGAATGCGAACCAGGCAATAGGTAAACCAATCTCTACTCTTATTGAAAATAAATAAGAAATACAATTATATTAAAAAAATAATTTAAAAAATTCAAAAAATTCAAAAAAAAAAAAAAAAAAAAAAAAAAAAAAAAAGAGATTAAATTAAAAAAAATTTATAAAAAATAAAATTTATTATTGATATATGTTTTTGTTCATTTGTTGGTAAATGAGGGATCAAGAATTCAATGAAGGGGTGGGGGTCATCAGTCTAGAAAATTTGGGACTCTTACTTTACATCAGTCTTATCTGGCTGTAAGCAGAATAATGTAAAGACCATAATCAATGACATTTTGTCAGATGATATCAAACTAAACCTGTTTGGCAATAACTATACAAGTACATTGTTCGGGGAAAAATGAACAAAGTTTATGATCTGATTGAGGCTATGGAGCATGGGTGTGGCAGTATCATGCTGTGGGGATGTTTTTCCTCTATGGAAATGAGGAAGCTTCCATTGTTTGGGACAAAGTGATGAAGCCGTATTTCATCCTGTGTGATTAGTCAGGCAGAAATTTTCTCTTGGAAAAAAAAAAAGAAAAAAAAAAGAAGATTATTAAGGAATGAGAAAATAAAAAGAATAGGAATTAAGAAAAGATAAAATATAAGAGATTGCATTTAAGTTTTTGAAGGTCAATTTTGACTAGAAAGAAAGAGGCTGGAAAAGAGTTCCACAAACAAGAAGTGTGAGAAAAGAAACTGTTAACACTATTTACATTGTTCGTATTGAAGTCCTTGTAGCAGTCACTGGATCGCCCTAATTTATATTACGCAAATTACCACAAAATATGAAAGAACAAGAGAATTTGCACTAGTAAATGGAATTTATATATGCATAACAACAATCGTACAAAACAGGAATTCAGTTGTGTTTGAAACGCTGAAATTTACTTGTCCTTGGAATTTTGAGTGAGGAAAATATTCTTGTTGATAAACTGTGAAACGTATTAAAAGGTGTGTGAGTTTGGAGAATTCTAGTAAGATGTAGAGTTACTTGTAAGAGAATTAAACAGGTTGAAAATAGTGCAAAAAAAATGTGGATGTGACTCAAAATGTTACGTTAAGAGTTTCTGTCCTTGTGGTTGTAAGAGTGAATGTCCGTACATACGTGCATGTGTGTGTGAGATGGTGTTTTAGCTCAGAGGGAAAAATGCAAATTCTCTAGAGCTTTACATTGCTTGTAAGTGAGAATAAGAGTGGTCGAGAGAAGATGTTGCCAAGTAATTATAAGTAATGTAAACCATGTGATAGGCTCAAGAACACATTTCAAGATTTTGGTGGTCTTTTGGGTTTAAATACTTGTGCATAGGCATTAAATTAAGTAAACTGGTCCACTCGTAAAACAGGAAAAAGTTTTTTTAGAATAATTTTTGTAGATTAGCAATCATTACACCTTTCTTTATCCATGATATTTGTCAAAATCAAAAAATATGAATTTTTCAATCATTTTAGAAGTGAGGTCTTGTTCATGACATAAATACAGTGTCTAATCAATCCCTGACTTCATAAAGAGTTGTCTATATACTCAGTCAGTTATGTGCCATGTGTGATACATGCTTAGGCGATCATGTATCTTTCAATACATGACTGACGAGGCAGATTTTTTCCTGCAGTAGGTTGCCATTACTTTCTGCAGTAGACCAGTTGTCATCCAAGGCTATAGAACTCGGTCTGTCCTGCTATTTACCTATAGCTGGGGGGAGAAGAAGAGGATTCATACCTTTCCCAAGGGTATTAGCTCGTAAGTGAACGTAATGGATTCGACTGGAATTTGAACTCGGCTCTCCAATTCCTCAATCCGAGCTGCTATCCATTACTCCACACTGTTTTCATTTATAAATGTAAAATTTGAAACTGCTTATATCATTAATTAATGCATTCTACTACAATTTGGGAAAAAGGACAACATTGGTAGTATGCAGTTATCAATTATGTAAGTACAATTTCTAACTTGACATTTGTAAATAAAAACAGAGTAGAGATAACTCTTTAAGAAGTCAGGAATTGATTTAACACTGTATTTATATTATGAACAGGAACCCCACCCCCACTTCTAAAATGATCAATCAATATTTCTTGCTTTGGACAAATGTTGTAGGTAAAGGAAGATCGGGGGAATATCAATCTATATCTATCAGGGTCGGGGAATGCCAATCTATCAAGGCCTATCTATCGGGGAATGCCAATCTATCAAGGGTCGGGGAATGCCAATCTATCAAGGACGGGGAATGCCAATCTATCAAGGGACGGGGGAATGCCAATCTATCAAGGGACGGGGGAATGCCAATCTATCAAGGTTCGAAGGAATGCCAATCTATCAAGGTTCAAAGGAATGCTAATTGAATGTAGGTCTAATGAATGTTAATCCACAAAAATTGACAAATGAATTAGCTATCCTTCATGAGTTAAAAAGAAAAAAAAGAAAAGAAAAAAGCTTTCACTATTTTGTTCCAGTTTTCCACTTCATATTTCTGCTTCTACCATTTGATGCCTTCCCCATTGATGATAACCTAGTGAGAGACCTGCTTCTGATCTGCTGCATCACACCCTCTGCATATAACGGTTCTTTCTTTTTTGCCCATGAAATTAAGACCTCTAAAATATAGGTAGCTTAATAAGCCTATAGCCTTACTGTAGAAAAATAAAAAAATAGAAAGCATTTATTTTATTTGGGAAAGATTGAAATCCAGTTAATAACTATGTATCAGAACACATATTTATTCATCTATCTGCCTATATTAGGCGTTTCCAAAAGTTTCAGCAATGCAATAATATTGGTTTTGATCTGGCAGCTTGGTCCCAGTTACTTTCCTACCACTGTAAGGTTGCCTCTGTGTTTTTTCTCTAAATACTTACATGGTAACTGTTTGGATGAGCTCTTTGCTATGGTACCTAGACTTCTTGAATTTAAGTGCAGTACTAGACTGGCATCAAGAGGTAATCAATTTACAGTTGAGCTGGCTAGATGCAGCTGTAAGTTCTATGCTAACAGTTTCTTCTCTTGTACTTCTCGCTTGTAGAACTCCCTTCTTGGCTCCATGCTTTCCAGCCAATTTTAATCTTCAAAAATTTAGATGCAATGTCAATCGCTATCTACTCTCTTCCTGATTACTCTTTTCTCTTCCTGCTCATTATTAATGTTTCGGTTCCTAATTCTCCCATACCCTGTAACCCCTTGTGTCTTAGTGGCTTTACAGCCTTGCATAGAGTGATTCCAATAAAAAAATAAATAAAAATAACTCCAAAACTACACTGCTCTTTATTTATTATTTGAGATTAACCCTTTCTGACTTCCAATGGCATGGCTGATGCTAACCTCCAGGAGAGTGATTTGTTGCACCTTCTTGGGCTAACGTTCTCAGCTGACATGAAGTGGAACCATTATATTGAATGAATTGCTAGGTCTGCTGCTAGGAAAGTTTGTTCACCGTGTCAGACGAGACATTTTTTCTCGACAGAATCTATCTTACATAACTACCATTCATCCATGCTTAGAATATTGCTGCTGCATATGGTCTGGTGCCCCTGCTATTTGCCTTGATCTTATTGATAAGATCCAAAGAAGAATCAACAATATTCTTTCTCACCCTGTAACCACTCATGTCTTAGTGGCTTTAATGCCATGCATGGGGTGATACCGATTAAAAAAGTTCCCAGCACTCTTTAAAAACTACAGAGTGAATACACAGTTTAAATGCTATTTATTTTTTTGCTGGAAACTTTTGCAATATAGAAACTATAATCAGTAATTCTTAAAAACTGAATCATTCAAATGATAATGTGTTATATAGAGCTTAACTGAGCACATTACTAAAAGCTTGTCATATAATGTGGTCGCCTTGCTAATTACTTATTTTCAAAGATCTTCATTTTTCATTCAGAATCATTCATTTATGCAAATTGCACATTCTAGAGAGAAAAAAAAAGGAAAAGAAATTCTGTTGCTAGTGTTTGTGGTAGTGCAGCTCAGGCAAGACACCAGGTTCATTGAGTTTCTTCCAGTCAAATGCTTGTGGCTTAAAATTTACCCTTCTGCCAGGTTGTTATCCATAAGTGAAGAACAAAACAATTTCTAGCAGTAAAGCAGATTTTATTCTTAGGTAGTAACTTACTGCTACAATCAAGCAAAGTAATGTTGATGCGTAAGTGAGGGGGGATGTGTGCAGTTTAGTGGGTATCATCGATGTCCTTCTGTGTGGCCTACTTTGTTACTTCTGTTTGCCTTTGTGCAGGAAGGTCAGTTTTATAGACAACAGTTTTCTTTGTCCTGTCATCTTCATCTAAAAAAGTAAGTAATCTTCCTTCCGTCGCTTTCTGTCAGTCTGAGCTTCTTGCTCTTATACTCTGAAGTTGACTCCAATTACTGACAGCCATTGGTTGAAAGTAAATGTTCTTTATCGAGTTGTGTGACAGGTCCCACTGTTTTAAGTTTAACAAGACCTCAGCTTGACATGTTTGTTAACTCAAATTTTTCATGGTGTCAAACCATACGTATGACTATGGATGAAATTCCTAAGTATCACTGACAAACAACAGATAAAAGAGATTTTATATGAGAAGAGAAGCAGAGAAAACTAGCAAGACTAAGCTTTGTCTATGCAGGAAAAGAATGTTTTAGGGGGACATATATGAATGTATAGCAACAGATTTCCTTCACAGTTGTATTTTTGCCTTTGAAAATTAGCCATTGAAGGATTTTCATTATTCTACACTGATTTGCTTGGAATAGTAATCTTATTTTGGTCATTACTATCATTACTATGTTTCAGTCATTGTACTTTCCAGCTATCAACAACTGTTTGTTGTTAGTAATCAGGCAGGAATTTTGAACCCAAATAATGTTACAATAACAACCAAGGTAAGGATACTAGTTCTAATAAATCAGTTTATAATAATGATAATTCCTCATATAAAGAGGTAAAATGTTGGGACTAAAACAATCACGATAAGGATATTAGTACTAATAAGTCAGTTTATAATAATAATTCCTCATGTCAGAAAGCAGCAAAATGTTAGGACTAAAACAACCAAGAAAAGGATACTAGTTATAGTAAATCAGTGTATAAATTGCAATCTAATGAATAAAAGCAAAAATTGATGTTTTTTAATTTCACCGAGCACAATGTATATTCTTTTTAAAAAGACCTCCGTCTATAACTATCACTCAAACTGAAGAGGTTGATTATAAGTCATCTCCATCATACAATGTTAAATTCAGGCCATGTTAACATCAGGACACTAAGATGTCAAAAAAAGAAACCAACCTTGACTGAATCAAATTCTGCTACATTACTATTCAATAAAGCAATGGCTGGTGCTATCAAAGTGTCCTTTTTCCTGAAAAGGAAGAAAAAAATGTTCAAATTAACAACAGAAAAAGTCGATAAAAAAAAAAAAAAAAGGTAATCAGGATGTTTCTCTTTTAGAATAATAAACAAATAATAATTCACAAAATACTCTTGAGTGATGCATTATTTCAAGTTAACACATTATATTTTTTTATTTTTATATAAGCAGATGCTAAAAATATCTTGGACCAACTCATTTCTTACCAAAACATAATTTTTTCTTTTTTTTATTGGAAAGCGTTACTGGTTAGGCTGAGAACTATGAAGGGTGAAGGGGTGTTGTTCATTTTGTTTCATGGTAGATATCGGGCAGCAATCTAACAAGGGTCGAATGAATGCTAATCTAATAAATCTCTCTCTGAAATCCTCCAGTGGAATATTCCCTGGGTCATTTGTAGTCAAAATATTTTCTTCTTTTAAAATAAAAAAAATATTCTTTTAGGATCATCTTTTGTCATCCAAAAGATAACATTAAACTTTTTTTCATCTTTGGAAATTCTTAACTCAAAATAAGTAAAAGACTGGCCAATTCTGAAAGACATCCATAAAAAAAAAAAAAAATGCGTAAATTCTATATTGACTCATGTATCTCTTTATCTACAAAAAAAAAATTTCTGCCTTTTTTTCCTTTTCAATCTTAAAAAAATTTAAGAGTTGTAGTCAACACATCAGAAATTGTAAGAAGCAGACAACAATATATAAAAAAAAAAAAAAACTCCAATAAGTAATTTTGATTGGACAAAAATGTTTGTCATATTAACCCAGTGTTTCTCAACTTTTTATGCAATGGCACACCTAAGAGAAAATGAAACTATCATGGCACACTTAGCAAAATGTTTAAAGGGTCTACATTTAAATGTTATAAATAAAACCATAGATTAAAAAAAATATACACACAAATATGAACTTACTTTGAATATTAAAGAAATATTAAAACAAAGTATTTAAAATAACATAATCGAAGAAGAGTGAAAGAATTATTTGAAAAATTTTTTAATACTTATTCATTTATTCAAATACTAACACTGTACCATTACTACTTCCACACATGCATAGATATGTATACTGTTACAATATTTCACAGCACACTAATTTATTTACTGCGACACTATGGTTGATAATCACTGTGTTAACCAATCAGAGACGTGTTAAAACAATTAAAGGGGATATTTAAAGAAAAAGAAAAGATTGTAGCTTACTTTTGGTTTTTTAAAAAATTAGCATTTATAATAAAAATAAATTACACTATTTACATCTGGACTATTATCCTGTTTTGGCCATTATGGCCTCTGAACTTTATCAAGTCTATGTCAGTGTTGATAACCTACAGGGAAATTTGAACTGATCCCTTCCCTTTATTTAATCTATAGAGGTAGATTAATAGTAGGTACTGCCAAAAATTTGCTAAAAATGAGTATACCATGATGAAAAAATGTCCCAAACTTAATGAAATGAAGTTTTATCATCAAAACCTTTATGTTATTATTAAGAGGAAAGGCAGAAGGATTTTTTGATTATTAAATTATATCTTTTTATCCTTTTTAGAACCTACAAATGTTTGGTTAAAAATCTTGATTTTTATGTGTCAACGGGGAACCATAGATCTGTACAGGAAATTTGAGTTTTTTGTGGTGAAAAACATTGATTTGGAAATTCTTTTTTTGTAGGATTTAATGTTTATATTAGTTATAAGGACAAGTCCTTGGAGAATTTTTAACCATTTAGTGAATTTTTTTTTTCTTTTAAAAACTAAATTATATTGGAGCATGAGAGTATCTGTGGCCTACGTAACTGGATTAGAACACACAAAGTTAGAAGCCTTTAAATGATTTTATCTGACTCTGAAATGTCTAGCGGTAAAGTTTATGAAGCAAGATCTTCAACAGCAGCTACCCACTAGATCAAATAAATAAAAGAAAACCTTCGGGAACAAGTGCCACTTGGCTGGAAGTTAGAAAGGTCTACTCACAGGTTTATATACTCACAAGTAGTGTCCCAGTAAGAGTGAGTGGACAGATGCATCATCTGTTCAATCAGTCATACTTGTAACAGTCACTAAGCGGAAGTAAGAAGAAAAGAGGGAAAGGACCTAACTGCCGCCTACCTACACTTAAAGCGAGCACTAGGTCTAACTTGAAACTCAACTAGTAAATAAATAACCAAATATATTGGAAACAGGATTCGTGTTTTCATTTCTGGCCATGGCATTTTTTTCACTTTCCATCTCCTTGTGAATGCATACAGGGCCTTTCTCAGTTTTTGTACATGCTCACGTAAACGAGAATGAAAACACAACATGGAGTGATTTGTCTAGTTGTTAAAAGACAAGAACCCACTTGTATGCTTACACAGTTCTGAAAATTAGATGCTATGCAGTTGTATTGGTTATTTATTTGCATAGAGTAATTAATGGGGGGGGTATAATTTATTACTTGATAACAATAGAAATTAAGGGGGATCAGTTTATTACTTAATAACAATAGAAAACTGATCCCCCACTTTATGCCCACTAGAATCTTATAGTAATACTAGTTTACTCATGCCATCAAAAATGACGACACATTTTGTCAAACCCTTCCAATTATTTGAAGGTTTCCATGTCTAAGTCTTTAAATCTATTTATTTGCAATTATTAATATATAGTAATTATAGGGGACCAGTTTATTACTTAACACCAATAGAAAACCGATCCCCCACTTTATGTCCAGTAGAATCAGATATTAATATTAACCACCTCACAACTCCTATTATACAAACTTTAAAATTAATTTTCCCAATATGTTGTAATTCTAAGGGATTACTCTATTACCTTTTCTGCTTCTATTTGCTTCAGGACATGAGTGATCATGGCTCACCACATATATCCCTTAAGGATCAGTGTTTATTACATAATACCAACAGAAAACAGGTCCCTGATTTTATATCAGGTAGAATCTTATATTAACACAAGTTTGCTCATGCCATCAAAAATGATGGCATATTTTTTTTAAGTTCTTCTATTATTTGAAGGTTTCCATGTCTGTCTTTAAACTTATTTATCTGCACATAGTAATTAAGGGGGATCAGTTTATTACTTAGCAACAACTGGAAACTGATCCCCCACTTTATGTCCAGTAGAAACTTTTATTCTTTTTTTTTTATACTAGTTTATTCATGCCATCAAAAATGACAATGTATTTTGTTAAAAACCTATTATTTCAAGATTTCCATGTCTAAGTCTTAAAACATATTTGCAATTACTCACATATAGTAATTAAGGGGGACCAGTTTATTACTTAATAACAATAGGAAATCGACCCCCACGTTATATCCAGCAGAGACTTTTATTAATATGACTTTACCCAGGCTGCCAAAAATCACAGAATATTTTGTTAATCCTTCCTCTTATTTAAATTCGGTTTGGTTGGTTGATTTTATGGCATGCTGACCCTTGTTGGATTATTTAATACCAAATTTTGGATGGGTCACCCAGTGATGATCGAATTCATTACCATGTAATAATGGTCAACTAGAATAACCTTGTGAATTATTATCCCATGCCAAAGGCACTAATATAAAAATGTGTTAACTTGAAATTACTTTTAGTTCAATAGTTTCCAATGGAAGTAATGCCAGAAAGTTTGGCTACAAAGTCTCAAGTGATCAAAATCCACAAAATGTCTGTCTTCAAATCTGGTTTGAAGTTTTTTGTTCTTTTTGGTTTCTAATATTGAAATCTTTGCAACTCACTCATACGAAGGATCCAGGTAGACACTGAGAAGAATATGGAACAGTTTCCGCTTATAGGCACCATCTTTGGCATTCACCAGGCAATATGTTTCAGCAGCTGTATAATCTTTGAGTTTGTGGACAAGAATCTTCAAGGCTTTCTCGTGTTCTTCAAGCTGCAGCAAAAGATAATCCACAATCATTAGAAAAGATAATCCATAATGGCAAATGCATGAATTACAGGCAAGTGAACAGTAACATACTTGGAGGTCAATTGCTATGTGGCAATAAATTGGACAGAAAAAGATGATAGTGTTGGTCAGGCAAAGTCATTGGAGGTCACCAAAGGTTAATGTTGGATTATCTTCAATTTTTTTCAGTAAAATGAAAAAAAAAATTTAAAGGAGTAAAATGAACAAAATTTTTGTGTATAAATCATTGAGCAATCCAGAAAAATGCTTTTAGACAAAGATTCAAATTTTTCTGTGTTACATTTTAAATTATTATTAGAATATGGCTATTATATGTATAACGTAAATTCATTGCTAATGATTTTATTATAGGAATGCATTGAAAATCAGGAAGAAAGGGATTGTCAGTGGTCAGGAATGAATGCACGCATTACTGATAGAATAGGGCTATTATATGTATAATCTAAATCCATTGATAATAATTTTATTGTAGAAATACATAGAAAATTGGGAAGAAAGGGATTGTCAGTGGTCAGGAATGAATTAAATGAGCACCCTGGAAAAATAATGTCTTTATTGAAGATTCAGATATTTTTTTCATGATGATCATTTAATTTATTCTTGAAATGAATATCTTCAATTTTCTCTTTGGTGAACTGATTCCATCATCTGTGAACACTGCCGTTTCTCTTTATATACATTGCTCTAGATCTTGATTTGTGGCTTCATGTCAACCCCTATTGAAACACTTGCTTTATAGTGGGGGGAACAAATTCACTGCCAATAGTTACAATTGGTGGATATTCTTTGTTAATATCATTGTACACCTTATTATGGTCATAACTCATTATAAGAGGTTGCTCTATGAATGCTGCTTGTGCCATGTAACCCGGTACTACATGTCACATGAATGGGTAATTGGCAACTAAATTGGTTCCTCCACCAGGCTTTTCTGGTGAAGAAAATGGTTAGACAACTAGCTGGATTAAAAAAAAAATGCCAAAGTGCAGATGAACCTTCTTGTAGGGTCAATGGCTGTCAAGCAAAATAGAGTAGATTGGGTTTCATAGTCATGTATGCAGCTGGTGGGGTGATGAGACAGTTTTGCTGGGTGGAGGGCTTCTGAGTTTAAAGTCAATGGATTGCAGGATACAGTCCCTGCTTCCAATGGAATCAACAGCCACATGTCTGTGACCAATGTTGGAGGACATCAGTTGTGGTTTGACCTCAAGAGGGATGAGCTCTGCCAGTTCAGCTTTACCATAGAACATACTATGCATAGAAGAATGAATACCTCTCTGGCTTTCAACCCAGGGAACTGGTCAGGTACTCAGCTATGCAATGACACTATGACCACACCCGATCATAAGACTGATGATAATGATGAATTGTAATGGTAATATTAACAGTTTCCTTATAAAGAAACAGTCAGTATTCATAGACTGAACAGGTTTTTCAGGAAAATAGTTTTCTCTTATAACTCATTCTAGTTTTGTTGGAGGTTTCCTTCCTAACCTTTTGTTTAATATAGTGTGGAAAGTCAACATCTTGTTTATGTCCTTATTTTCTCTGAGTTTCATGTGCTATCCATTCTAGTTGTTGCTGCTTTTAAAAGTTCTCAACTGGTGTGGTTTTGGTTATTTTTCTATGAGATATGATGATGAATTGTCTTCAAGATACGCAGGGTTCATTTGCTTGAACCTATTTCTAAGAAAACAGTTGTATATAGCCGAGAGTTTAGACATTTCTGAATGAGTTGATGCTATGCATGACATCCGCATGAAAGTCTAGATCTGATGAAGCTGTTTAAGAACATGACTCATGTTCTTAGGTTAATGTTTTGGTTTTGCAGCATCTTGGTGTGCTTGGGGAAACTACCCCTAATGCAGCCTTTTCTGTGTTCAATTTCCTTATTTCCTATACTAAATTGGTTATAACTGACCCATACACAGAGATATTTGTAGTGTTTAGTATTTATTCATTTCATATTTGGGATTTTTAGTACAACATTAGGAGAATTGGTACAGCAAACAATTAAAAAGAACCAAGAAAAATGTGGGAGATGAAATAACTTACCTTGCCGTAGAGAATTGCACATTCAGCATGCATGTCAGTTTCGAGCTTTTCCCAAAATTAGCTGAACACGATACAAATTGGACATCTGTAGCATGTGTCGTAATTTAGACCTGCCAACAAAAAAAAAAAAAAAAAAAAAAAAAAAAAAAAAAAAAAATTTATAATGTTGTTAACTCATCATTTTGTATCATGAACTGCTTTTAAAAGAAAACCAAGGGGCCTGTGTGTGTGTGTATATATATATATATATATCAAAAGGTGGCCTGACGATTGCATCTAGCATGAAACAGACTGTCACCTCTAAGTGTTGACTTCTATGTTCACTTTTATATTTACACCTGCTCTATCTCTGATATTGAGCACTTTATCCCATAAATATACCACATCTTAAGACTATATTTCTTTATATATATATATATATATATATATATATATATATATATATATAAAGGCAGAAATACCTCTTTTATACATGTTTCATTAAAGACAACTAACAAGGTACTGCAATTAAGCTTTTTATTTTTCTTGTGTTCATATAAGTGTTTTCTTTTCTGGAGGTAAAGTGTGCAAAATTTGTCCAAATGTTCTGCATTTCTGAGTGCTTTCGGCTATTATCAAGGCTGATTTTATTTTTTTTTAATTTTATTTCAGCCATTATCAAGGCTGAATTTATTTTTTTATTTCAGCCATTATCAAGGCTGATTTTATTTTTTATTTCAGCCATTATCAAGGCTGATTTTATTTTTTTATTTTATTTCAGCCATTATCAAGGCTGATTTTATTTTTTTATTTTATTTCAGCCATTATCAAGGCTGATTTTATTTTTTTATTTTATTTCAGCCATTATCAAGGCTGATTTTATTTTTTATTTTATTTTATTTTAGCTATTATCAAGGCTCATTTTATTTTATTTTTTATTTTATTTTAGATATTATCAAGGCTCATTTTATTTTTTTTTATTTTAGCCATTATCAAGGCTGATTTTATTTTTTTTTATTTTAGCCATTATCAAGGCTGATTTTATTTTTTTTTATTTTAGCCATTATCAAGGCCGATTTTATTTTTTTATTTTAGCCATTATCAAGGCTGATTTTATTTTTTTATTTTAGCCATTATCAAGGCTGATTTTATTTTTTTTTTATTTTAGCCATTATCAAGGCTGATTTTTTTATTTTTTTATTTTAGCTATTATCAAGGATGGTTTTATTTTTCATTTTATTTTAGCCATTATTAAGGATGATTTTATTTTTACTTTTTAACTGAGTGTGTGGGTTGTGTGTATGTGTCTAGATTAAAAGGGATGTTTTATTTTCTGAACTCAGCACATTATGCCCATGTTTGTAGTTAATGTTACTAAGTGTTGGCTTTTTCTTTTTTATTATAAGGGCTTCCCTTATATATAAACAAAAATGACACCACAGAACATTTACAAAGATTTAAAAATACAGAAAAGCATTCTACTTTCTTAAAGGATCCCTTTTGACCAACACATCAGAAGAAGAATATGTTGGTAGATATAAATTGACCAAGAAAACAGGACAATTCGCACTGTGAGAAAAAATAAATGACAACTAAAATACAAATTTATTAATAAAACATAATAAAAATGAGGGAAGGAAAGGAAATATATGAGCAAAAGAAAAAACTTTTGTAAAAGGTCCCAAGTGACTATAAAACAGAAAAGTTCCCCCACTTAATAATTATAAGTTTTATTAATAAATTTGTATTTTAGTCATTGTTCCTTCTTTTTCTCCTCCTCTTATTTTCTCGCAGCGTTAATCGTATTTTCTTGGTCAATATTTACCAACGTATTCTTCTTCTGATGTTTTGGTTCAAAGAATTCTTTTATATATATATTTGTATATATATATATGTATGTGTGTGTGTATTAACTGGGGGATGTTTTGCATTGAAATGAAAGATTTTAGGCTCCATGGATTGTGGTTGTAGGTAAACAGATCTTAGATACTTTAAGTACAGATTGCATCGGCCCTGGCTATATTTTTCACCATTTCTTTTGTTTGTCGCCATTTTTCAGAAAAAGAAGCTCTGGTTGTCTTTATGGATTCTACACTTAAAAAAAATCTATAGAAACGTTATTATAAGAACAGAAACAGCTCAGAGGACAAGTTTTATAGTCTGAATAACTGTTGGAAAATACGGTGTTATTTCAACTGAAGATTTTTTTACGTCCTGTAGATACAGATTTGAATGACTTACCGAGCCAAGTCCAGACTTTCTTGGGGAGTATTAGTATCTTTTTTAAGCTGCAAGACATGATCCAAGTACAAAACAGCCAAATGGGTGTGGTATTTTTCCCTCTGTAACATACAAGATTGTTGGCATTTAATGCTTACAGTTTTGTTTTTTTAGTCATTATTTGACAACAGTTATATTTTTAAAAATGTTAAAAAAAAAAAAAAAAAAAAAAAAAAAAAAAAATTCATTTCAGCCCAAGGTAATAAAGCCACTAAGATGCAAGGGGTTACTGAGTGTGAAAGAATAGACGAAACAAAAAAATACTATTAAGGAGTGACAACAGAAAATGAAGAGGAATGAAGAAGACAGAAGATAACGATTGACATTGCATTTAAATTTTTGAAGATCAAATTGACTAGGAAGCAAGAAGTTGGAACATAATTCCCCAAGTGTGAAGTGGAAAAATTATGTGAACAATTAGTAAGAAAAAAAAAAAAATAAAAGCAAGAAGTGCAAGAACTTATGATTATATCTAGCAATTTCAAATGTAAGATGATGAGACCTAGCTGCCAATCTAGTACTGCACTTAAATTCATAAAGTCAAGGTACCAAAGAGGAAAGTTCATTCAAACAATTACCATGAAAGGATTGATAGAAAAGGCACAGGGATGTTACATTACAACAGTGGGAAAATGATTGAAAAAATAGTGAGATACAAAATAATTCAACTTTTACAGTCAAATGGAGAGAGAAGAGGAAATGCTGTATGTGATTCACACCAGTAAATACCACAGATCAAATTTAATGTTAATAAGGAGCCTGTGTTCTCAGAGGAATTGATCTGTGGTGGCTCCCATATGTAATGGGTTCACCTTAAGAGATACCAAAGTGGTCATAGCAGAGCCAGGTGCATCAGAGAGTTGACATGGAATGTAGCCTCGTAGCCACAAGGTGCAAAATCGAGCCTCAAAGAATAGCAGTGGCTATACCTGCTCCTAGATATAAACAGGAGGTTGACCAAGCTTAGCTTGAGATGTGTATATGTGGAACATGTGGATGACAGGAAGTTAATATAAGCATTCCATCTTCGGAAAAAGAGAATATTTCACATCATTGAGAGGAAGATGTTTAAAGAAAGTCTCTGAAACCACACTCCCTCCATGGTTGACATTAATTGACAAAATCCAGAAATGAATAAATGATAATTTTACATATGAAAGCTCTAGTCTTGTATTCTTATTAATTATTTTATGGCTTCATTTTTAAAAAAATTTTTTTTTTTTTATTAATAACAGTAATTATTAGCTGGCGAGATGAAACTTGATGGGGTATGGCAGAAAAAAAAAGTGAAGGGGAGGAAAAAGTAAAAAAAAACAAAAGAAAACATATAATAATTACCTTCCAAGTATCCTATGATAGGGTATCCATATAAAAAAAAAAAAAAAAAAAAAAAAAAGGAAAAAATCCCCCATGAACAATTTAAATAGAGCTCACACCATTGTGATTGGCTGTTGGTCAACATCCAATCAAATGCGTGATAGTGGCTTATGGCTTGCCTAATATAAGTCAGTGTCTGCAGGCTGTTAATTTAACAGGGGGTGCAACAGAGACTGATCAGCTCTGATGGGGTCGACTTGGTGAAGGTCATATTATGTCTGAAAACCCGAAACTGCCCAATGATCCAAATCAGAACATCACTGAGCTAAAGAGGGTATATTCAAAGTAATGTTACTAAGTTAACATTGCAAGTTCTACTTAACCACAACCCATGAAGTAATTACCATACTAGCATTGCTGTTGTGGTTTCTGTAATAAGAAGTTTTTTTAGGAGGTGAAGTTACTAGTGCATGTCCAAACAGTTTTGAATTACTCTTCTTCTAGACTGGTTGCCAACCAAGGATAGAGAGTTCAAACTGCACTGATATTAGACCTATAGCAGCAAGGAGAAGAAATGAATTCATACCTTTCCCAAGGCTATTTGTGTAAAAGTGAACACAATGAACTCAACCAGAATTTGAACCCGTCACAACAATAACCACTATGCTATGTGCATATCCGCAGTCAAATGAACAGTGAATAAAATTTGAATTAAGTTATTTTCTGCTTTCCGTTATCCACATTTTGTCTGACGCATGTATTAAATACAGCAGTATTTTTGGTAGATTAAAATTTTTTTTTTTATATTATTTCATGGATTTATTATTATTTTTGATTTTAAAAAATTTTTTATTAAGGAAAAAATTTTTTTATATTTTTTAAATTTTTTTTGTAACCATAATCTACGAAATACAATTTAAAAAATAATTTTTTAAAATCATTTCACCCCATGCAAGGCAGTAAAGCCACTAAGACACAAGGGGTTATTGAGAGTAAAGGAATAAGAAAAAAGAGAAACATTATTAAGGAGTGAGACCAATAGAAGAAGAGTAATCAAAAAGACAGTAGATAACGGTTGACATTGTATTCGAATTTTTGAAGATCAAAATTGGCTGAAAGCATGAAGCCAGAAATGAGAGTTCTATGGGCAGAAATGCAAGAAAAGAAACATAAGAATAGAAATATATTCATTTTTTTTTTTTTTTTAACTATGATTTCTTTCATCTTCTTTCTCTTGCTTTTTATTGCAACTCACCATTAGGGCAGGTTGATTTTGGAATCGTGGTATTGCACTCAATTGGAAAGTTGGTGTTTTGACATGATAAATAATGACACAAATTTTTTTTTTTTTCTCAAATCATTAGTGTTTTTTTGAAATGTGTTTAAAGATTAATTTTAGGTTCAAAATCATAGCGTTGGAATTTCATTCCAGTGATCAGTGAAAGCCTTACAGCACAGCCTTATAAAATTCATAATTGACTTGAACTTTACAAATTGTATATGGACAAGATACATGGCACAAGTACATTATTACTAAATCATTGTGCCATCACATAAGATCTTCATTTACATCAAAAGGAAATTACACTAAACAATTTAGCTATGATGCAATGTGTTATAGAGTGCAGTGGTTTTAGTGTGATTTTCAATAAACAATGCAAATTTAAAACATTTTGTCTTATAATTTGTGCCAAGCAGTGTTATTTTGTTATATATACTTATCTATATTTTGTTTTTATTAATTGTGATATAACAAATATTATTCAATGATTAGCCTTTTTATAAACTCTTACAATTCAATTTTTACAGTTTTTATTTATTGAATACAATAAAAAAAAATGGTTTGAATATATTTTCCATTCAATGTATCTAATACAAAAAATATCAACTTTATTTGGATTTATTCTTGAAATAGCAAAATTTTGAAGTGAATTTTTAAGCAAAAATCTGTGGATATTATGTATTTCTGTACATTTTTTCAAACAATTTTAAAACTAAATTTTTAAAAATTAAATAAAGCTATGAATCTAATATTCGGTATCAGTTCTTATCACATCAAACTAACTTTCGAAACAAGTGCAATTTTGATTTGCGAAAATAATAGAAAAAAAAAAAAAAACAACCTGCTGTATTCACCATGTCATTCCACAATTGTAAGCAACATTGACAGAAAAAAGTAGAAGATTTTAGCAAGATTTGAACACTCATCCCTTTGCTTCAAGAAACCTGCCATACCAATTCGGCCATAAAAACCAAGAAACTCAAAGCAGATTTTTTACTTTTTCCTCCAATGTCTGCTATTCTACCATTTTTGCTTATATCCTCAGTTCTTTGAGGACATATCTATTAATAAGTTTTTGTAACGTGTTCTAGTTTGGTTTGTTTTACAGCATATCAACATCAATGGGCTATTTAATGCAGAGAACATTTATTTTGTTGGTAATATTTTGTTTTTATCAAAAATCTATTTCTGGTAAGATTTTTCCTTTAACAGTATATTGCTGGTAACAGTTTTTTTTTCTACAAAAATTTATTGCTGGTAATTTTTTATGAAGTATTTCTGCTATTAAAACCTATTTTTACATTTTCATAATGCTTTTTACCTCAGTCCAGGGGTTAACTATTTGCCCATAGCTGGGACCCTAACAGGTGATACCATCCTGGGTCAGGGCGAACCTGGGAACACCAGCAGTTAAGAGATGGTTCCACGCTCCTCAAAACCTCCTGATCAGATGCCTTGCTGTTGAACGTAGTTTATCGTCTTACTCAGGACACGGATGTAGTTTATCATCATACCCAGGATGCGTAACTTGTTCTAATTATCATTTCTTTGCAGATAAATGATGACAAACATCATGCTAATTCAGCAAATGAAACGGTACGCTATAATCATTGCCTTAAAAGCAAAGCATAGGGATTTACAGATGGCTCACTTCCTGAAAGCTGCATGATCGTTTGTTGTCAAAGTTTTCAAAGAGTTTGAAACTGCTGATGGGGAATTCTACAGCAGTAGCCAATTATAAAACTCCCCACTAAGGGTCCTAATACTATTAGGACACCAAAATTTGTACAGAAGATGCAGAAAATTATTGAAAAGAACTCCAGAAAGCCAATTAATACTATTGTTAAGAAGTTCAAAGTTTCAAGTCACTCTATCAGAAGAATTGTCCATGAGAACCTTCATTATGTCATATCTGATACGGAGAGACCAATTCATGTCTGCAAAAACAAAAGATAATTGTCTGATCAGTGCAAAGCATTTATTGAACAAGTTGAAACATCAATGCTTCATTTTTTTCTCTGATGATCAGGACCAAAAGCTTGACCAATGGAATGACAAATGGTTATGCAGAAGCAAATGAAATTAAGATGAAAGAAATCTGAGACAAAAATGAATAATGGCTGACATTTCATCTTATGATAATAAAATTCAAGATAATATTACTACTAACAATACTACTAATGTAATAAAAAGCAAGTGAAATTAAGATGAAAGAAATCCTAGTCCAAAATGAATAATGGTTGACAATGCTTCATCTAATAATACTAAAATTCAAGATAATATTACTACTAATATAATTTGTGTATGGATAAATACATACTGACAATTTGAATTTTGATAAAGTAATCCTTCATATTATTAACAAAAACTGACATGATGAAAACTATCTCACAAGATTTAATAAGAGGTCAAATCTCGGAAGAATGTTAACATATTTTTGTTCCAATTGCCATCAATAAAAAAATATTTTAGTCCAAGTGTCATGAAGATTAAGATGATGATAAAACTCACCTTTAGTTTTTTCTGAAAAACAAGAAATTCAAGGTAAGCCACCACAGCCTTTGGGAAACGGTAGAGGAAATCTATGATTGTATCTGGTGAGAGAGTGTCAGATGCTGGCTCAGACGATGGACGCTCTGTGAATACCTGGGAAGGGTAACATCTATGTTTGAAATGCATTAAGCTTTATTACAAAACATAAAAAAAAAACATTTATAAATCAAGACATTGACATAGCAAATACTAAAAGCATATATAAAAATTCATTGGAAATGATTTTACTATGGGAATGCATTGCAAATTATTTTAATACTCTTTATGCAACATGATATATGAGGTATAACATTTATGAAACAAATCCATCTAAACCTTCTTTAGTCTAATCATTACATAGAGAATTATTTCTCTCATATATATATATATATATATATATATATATATACACACACACACACATATAAATATAGTTTGAAATGTAAAATTGTTCAAATTCCAGTCAAGTTCATTACAGTCACTTTTGTGGAGTAATTGAGCATCTTATTGGAGGTACAATATTTTATGATGTAACTAAAACTTTTATTGGGGGTACAATATTATGTAATTGAATATCATATTGGAGGTACAAAACTTAATGCTATAAATGCAGACATATTAAAAAAAAAATAGGAAATTGGAGAAAAGAAAATACAACCACAATAAATGCCAATTCACTATTACATTGTTTGGACTATTGTCCTCATCTTTGTTTCCATATTTATCATGTTTCGGCCATTGTACACTCGAGCCTTCTTCAGGCCGTTGGAATGTTGAACTGAAACCTTTATTTTGCTTGTTGAGATAGACTGTTCTAGTTCCATGTGCCATTTCTAATGGATATCAGTTATCTCCTGTTAATTCCCCTCTCCAAGTTCTCCACTGCCTTAACCAGGTATTAAACTCACACTCTTTGGGTCCTGTCACTGGATCTAACTAATGCCTTCATCCACTGTGCCATGTGTCCTTGAGGACACATGGAAAACTTGGCGAGGGGAATTAACAGAGGATAACTGACATCCATTAGACATTGCATGTGGAACCAGAACAGTCTACCCCAGTGAGTAAAATAAAGGGTTCAGTTCAACATTCCAACCACCTGAAGAAGGCCGGGGCATACAATGGCTGAAACGTGATAAATATGGCAACAAAGATGAGGATGATAGTCCGAACAATGTAAATAGTGTACATAATACCTCATCTCAGAAATATAGACAAATGCCAATTCAAATAAAAGAAAAGAAACATTTCATTCCTCTCTCAACAGAAGAATTAAAATACAATGTAGAATGGCTAAAAGAAAGGTATGGGGAATTGATGATATGAAAAAAAAACATAAATCAATATTGACACATGTATACATGCTAATAAAAGGTGACATTGATAACCCCAAAAGAACCATTTCTTTTGTTTACACAAAATATACTCTCTCGATTTAATGGAAATTGTTGCAAGAACTTTGAGATGAAAGTCAAAATGTCATCCGCTTAACACCAAAAACACATCCTCAGGGTAGTTTCATGTGCATTGCTGATTCAACAAGGTGTTCAGAGCTTGCAGGCGTAGATGTAATAGAACATTTATGCAAATTTTGAAGCTAACCTTTCCAAAAGCATGCTGGAACATGTTAAGGAACTCTTTTAACTAATGGCTGGGTGGTCTTGCCTATGTAGTCAACCTTGGACTGACATTTAAAAATAGAATGAATTTGATAGCCAGGTGAGCCATCTTAATGAACTGATTTTAATATTGGCTGAGAAGAGAAAACAATCGATGCATTGGCTATGAAATAGCCATTACTAACATTGGCAAAGATTTGTTTAGGAAATCTTATAGTAACCTCAAATCATGGCAATTTCAAATAAGCTGGACATTTATTGCAACCCATCACTTTTGGTTTAGAGAACTGTGTAATCATAGCACAAATACTAGAGTGCTCTCACTCATCTCCCATTGTTTAGAGAATTATGCAGAGGCCCAAAATGATTCTTCAAGAATCATTTGAAGATATTCATGACACAAGCCAACATCAACCCTGTTATGCTGTGGTAAGTCATTATTCTTGGGATATGATGAACTTTAGTTTGACCAAGGAGTATGTACGCACTCAAAAATTTAAGGATTATCTAATGTTGGAGAAAAGTAAAAGTAGTCATAAGATGATAGGATTATGGTTACACTGTTGTAGGTCATAATTCTTGGGATCCTATGATCTTCATTTGAATCAATGAGCCTCTTTGCATTTGAGAATTTAAGGTGTATCTAAAATTGGAGAAAAAGTTGGTTGGAGACAGATGGAACTTGGGGCCTCAGTTAAAACGTGTCTTTTTGTTCTTTGGTCTAGAAGAATAAAAATCTATCATCTGTAAAGACCTGATCACAACGTTCAAGTAGCAGAGTTTTGGGTAAGCCATTGACATCTTCATATTGACATGTTTGAGACAAACAGCGATGAAAAATCTAGTTTGGAAATTATGGATTAAAATGGCTTTTCATTTCTTTCCATTGATGATCTTCCTTCAAGTAAATAACTGTTGTAGGCCCAAAATGGACAAGCATTTTTTTTTTTTGGAATAAGTAAGATTGATAAACAACAAACAGATAATCCTGGATATTTTCTTTTTACCTTGACTCCTTTTTCTTGATCCATTTCCAAAACACATTCAACGTATTTCCACACCAGATGATGGTCAGTCAAGCTACAAGAAAAAACAGAAAACCTGTTATATCATCATATATAAAGATTCATTGATTGATTTGTTTTTTATGACTTATCAAATTTTTCAGATTATTTAAATATAGAAAATATTCTTAGTTTCTAAGAATTCATTTTTGGTGTAAGTATTTGTAAGTGAATATATCAAACTTAACAGGAACTGGAACTCTGCTCTCTGATTAACAATTCTGAGCCATTACCCATTACACCACCCACGCATCCATGCTTACAGTACCTAGCATCCCAAATATGTTTTTTTTTTTTTAAGCATTTCACTCCAAGCAAGGCGGGAAGCCACTAGCATGCAAGGGGTTACAGAGGATTTGGAGCAAGAGCAGATAAGAATGATAGAGAAAAGGATGAGGCGAAGGATAGTGGATAAATCAAGGCAACTGGAGATGTCGATTGACATTACATTTGAATAGTTGGAGATTATAGCTATCAGGGAAACAGAAAAAGGGAAGGGAGTTCCACAGGCGAGAGGTGCTATTGGAGTAGAAGAGACGGCTACATTTAACGGTTTCAATAGTGAAAGGGTAAGAGCGGGATGCCAGCCTCGTTGGACGCTTGAATTCATGAAGCCTGTGAATCTGCGAAAGCAGCTCATTAGAGCAATTACCATGAAAGTACTTGTAAAAAAGACAGAGAGAGGCGACAGCACATCTGTAAGAGAGCGACTGCAGACGAGTCGCCAGATCAGGGCCAATTCGATTGCATATCCGTCTCTGGATCTCATCAAGAACCCTGAGACAAACAGAAGGGGCTCCAGACCATATATATAAAGAAATATAATTACAAATATATATAGTGATAAACTACAGCTATCTATAACACATTCGTGCAGTCATAGCTCTCCACAACTTTCTTTTCTTAGGCAAGATAATAGTTTTTCATGGTTTGGAATTCACAGAATTGCTTCCCTTACACTGCTTGCTCTCTCTAGCTAGAGAACCCAGACTAACCTGCTGTTTAACCCATAGATTGGGAGGAGAAGAGACAGATGCATGCCTTTCCCAAGTGCATTAGTGTGAGAGTGAACACAACCTAGAATTTGAACTTGGCTTGCTGATTTCACTTTCAAAATCTGTTACACTCCCTACACATCCCCATACTGTTTTTTTTGGGTGGGGGATATTTTTTTTCCTTCTCAGATTCCCAATTTTGCTGACAGTTTTGGAACATCACCAATGATCAATACAATTGTCAACTTCATATCTTACAAAGTTTTTTCTTTTCTCTCATGAATTCCAAGTATTTTTCTATCTTTACATTTTTTACAATCTGTTAGTGGATTAACTATCTAGCAGATCTCAATTTCTTTGTTTATGATGATGAGATTGTAGGTAGCAGGAAAGCAAGAAACTTGAATAGAGTTCCACTGGCAAGAAATGCAAAAACAAAAACTGTTAGAATAGAACTTATGGTTACATCTAATTATTTCAACAGTAAAACTATGAGACCTAATTGCCAATCTAGTAGTACGCTTAAATTCATGTGGTCAAGGTACCAAGGAGGAGAACGCATTAGAACAATTGCCATAAAAGTATTTATAGAAAAGGCACAGAGAAGCCACATCATGGCAGTGGGAAAGTGCCAGGTCAGGACTGATAACATTGCAGATCCTTCTTTGGATTTTATCAAGAATCTTGAGATATATATCCAGAGCACCAGATCAGATACAGCAGCAATATTCAATGCATTGATGAATGGTAGATGTATAAAAGTCCAAGACAGATTTTGTCAAGTGAACTGTCTGCTATGACACAGAGAAGCAATTTTTCTGGCAGCAGACCTAGCAATTGATTCTATAATCATTCCATTTCAGATCAGTGGACAACATGAAACCAAGAAGGTGCAATGAGTTGCTCTCCTTGAGGTTAGCATCAGCCATGCTGTTGGAAGGCAAAAATGTTTCTAAAGATAGCAGTTTCATTTTGAAGGTGTTAAAATTTACAAGCCATTTCTTGCCCCAGTTAACAATTGATTGGAGGTCATTTTTGAGATCAGTTGTCAGTTTTACTATATTGGACCAATTGAACTTACTATTGAGACTGGAGTAAATAGTTGCATCATCAGTATAAATATAGAGTTGGGAATTGATGACATTGTTTCTTATCTTCATCAATGACCTTCCCAAAGTAGGTCCAAGGAGAGATCCCTGGGGGGGGTGACACCAGCATCAATGTGGAAGGATCTAGTAGAGTTGCCATTCAACAAGACTTGCATTACACAATTTGTTAAGAATGATTCGATTGAGTTAAAAATTCATCCAGAGACACAATATCCCTTTTGTATGTGAAGAAGACCGACATGCCAAAACCTGTCAAACTCCTTCAAGGTTTTTTTGGAAAACTGTCCATAACTTAATTTCTACTAATGCTACCCTAATTAAAAAAGAACATAATTCTTTAAAGATAAAGTACTTTGAGAGCTTCATAACAATGTTACCAACTATAAAAACATGTTAAAAACATAATGCCATATTGAATCCATTCTTAAAGAATCTAATGTATATTTATCTAAAACAAATGGTATATACATAAAAATGTTTCCAAATCAAGATGCAAAAAACCATCAAACATAATGCTTACTAGACATACAATTATGAATATACAGTATCGTCTGATGCCCACATAGACAAACTAGAAATTTTATAAACTTACATATATCTATATAATAAATGCCAATGTCTGTGTCTCTTTTTTAACTTTACTCTAGTAGACCGTAGACCAACATATACCATTTTGGAATCAGGCCAACTTTGTGAACAAATTAAAAACATTCTGGGCCAGATCCAGACAAGTAATCCTGAAATTTTGGATTCCCAAGTTTTCATTACTGCGATTGTTTTCAGATTCCGCCATATTGGCTTCTACTGTTAAAGGGACACAACTTTCCAACTTTTAATAGCTCATGTTTAAATGAAAAATGTGGCTATTCTCAAATTACACGGTTTCAAAATAAAATTGTCCATGTTTTCAACTTTACTCCTAAAGGTCATAGCCCAACATATCATACCATTTTGGAATCAGGCTGACTCTGCAAGCAAATTAAAAACATTCCAAGTTGAATCAAACCTGCAATCCTGAAATTTTGAATTCCCAAGTTTTCTTTACTGTGATTGTTTTTGGTAATTTTTTTTACATGATTTTTTTGTGACAAATTTTTCTGTATGATAACAATTTTTAGAACTTGGAAATAAATTTGGGAATAATTGAAATTAATAGCGAAATCCAGCGAAAGTCACCTATGAAATAAAAATAATTAATTATATGGAAAGTAAGGATCTACTTACATCAAAATTGTCGTTAAATTAAGTGGCAGCTGAAAAATTATCATTAAACTTTTAAAAGGTAAGCTTAAACATTAATGCAAAACTTAAATACAGTGGTCAATTTTGAGTTCTGAAATTTATTGTTGACTATCACATCTACTCCTCCCTACGTATGTGATGAAGGCCCAATCAAGCCGCAGGAGCTAGCTTAAATGCCGCCTGATAGGTCAACTTTTAAGCTAGTATAACAATATTTATGATCTTTTCAGGTAGGCTTGGAGTCTGTTAATTTTCTAAAAATTTGGATCTCTCATTGAATTTAGGATGCTGCAAATTATACTAATGTTGGTTTTAAAAAGTTGAATGCATGTCATACATGACTGACCAATGAAAACCAGACACAAAAGTAAAAATATAAGAATTTCTTTTTTTTTCTCTCCATATCTCAGTCTCTGTTACTTTATCATACCATTAAATACAGAAAAGAACTTTTTACTTGTAAATTCTCTTTAGGCTGAAATGCAGAAGCCTTTTCTGTATCTAGTCAGGAGTTTCTTCATTTTTGATTCTCGTAATAATAAATCCATTTTTCCACTGCAAAGGTTATTTCCTTTTCAAGTAGATTCTCTTTCAGTTGAGATACTGAAGACTGTCCTGGATGCAGCCAAAATTTTGTTTATTTTGAATTCTTGTCACAGATCTATTGTCATGGCTAGTAACTATTTTGTCCTGAAATGTCTATTTTACCAAGATGTGAAAGACAAGTGTTTAAACCCTGATAGTTATTTTGTAAATTTATACTGAACCCATTTTCCTAGCTTCTGAATATTCGTTTAGACAATCTTCTACACTTGATTACACAAGCCATAAAGAACTGAGTAAATGTGAAAGACGCTTCTAAGATTTCCCTAGGTAACTGAGAACAAGCAATATAAATAAAACAAATATAATCAACAGAAGAAAATCAGTATAGTTTCAAATAAATTTTGCACAGAAGTTCAACTTAGAAAAAGTCCTCAAGCCTTGGAAAAAGTCATCATCAGGTTGAAAATTCTTCTGACTTGTTCCTTCCAACAATCTCTGTCGGCAGGTCCTCCAGATGGCATCCAGAGTCATCTACAAGTTGGTCAATGTAGGTGTGATGAGGTCTTCCAACTTATCTTTCGCGGCGCAATTGGTTCCATAGGAGGATGTCACTTACAAGTTCTGACTTACTTCTCCAGGAGTGACCAGCTAGCAGAAGCCTTCTCTTTCTTAGCAAAACTGAGATAGGAGAAAGATGTCCATACAGGCGTTTCTTTGTTGGGTGTTTCTTCCAACTGATGTCCAGTAACATCCTTGTGTATGCCCAGTCAAGTGATGTTTCTTGGTGTTTCATCAGTGTCCATGTTGTTGAGCCATAGAGCAAGACAGATTCTACCATGGCCTTAAAGAAGCCCCTCTTAAGCTTGTCAGAGAGGGAGGTCTTCTAGATGATGCTCAGGATCATCATGGATACACCAGGCCTTGTGTTTGCAGATTTTGATGTCTCTCTCCATTGACTGGATGTTGCTGCTGAGGTAAACAAATTCTTGGATGGATTTGATGTTGTTGCTGTTTTTCAACTTGATTTCTTCTTCTTGGAAACAGTAGGCTTGCATAATTAGAGCAATGCGGACATTCGTGGTTTGTGAGACATCTGAATGATTTTCAGCTCAAGTATGGCACTATATTAATATTATTTGTACTTAAAACGAAGATTAAAACAAAACTTTTATGTTTCTAGTTAAAAAAAAAAAAAAAAAATAGGGGCACAGATTGAGAAATCCTGATCCGCAGTGAAGAGCGACAAGTTTACATTTAATCTAATTAAACTATTTGGGAGGGGGGGTGATTATTAATTCTGATAATAACGGAAATTCAAAAATGAAAAAATTATCATAAGAAAAAAATGAAAGAGGAAAATTCTTACTTTGCAAGAAGTTTGATAATAAAGTCAAGTCCAAGAAAGTTGTCATCCTGAAGTTGTCCATTTAGAAGCCTAAAAAACAAAAAATAATTGATTTACATAACAATTTTAGTCAAAGGACATTTTAAAATATTCTCAGAAAATATGATGACTTGTACCAGTGTTATGTTATAAAAAGAAAAGACGTAAAAATGAAATAAAGTTAAAATTAAAAGAAATTTTATGGATAATCCAGACAATATTGATTTTTGTCTGTAAAATAGAGAAGGGTCATGAAGAAGTTCATTTAGATTCTTGGATCTTCTCTTTATATAGATGTTGTTAATTGTTAATAACATATTTTCATGGATGACAACTGAAGAAGGCTAGAGAATAGATCAGCTGAAATGTATTAACAACAACATATTTACAAAGAGATTTGAGTATCATAATAATGTTGGATGTAGATTTCTTTTCAAGAGTAAAATTTACAGAAGAAAATGGAATGGTTGGAAGGAATAATTGAAAGGAAAATTATTAAAAATAGGTAAAGTGAAAGACATTAGAAAAAAATGGGAAAATCAGAGGGGGAGAAAGGGAGAGAAAGAAAATTGAAGGTGGGGGAAGGAGAGCGGGAAGAAATTGAAGGTGGGGGAAGGAGAGCGAGAAGAAATTGGGCGTGGGAGAGGGAGAGCGAGAAGAAATCGGGCGTGGGGGAGGGAGAGCGAGAAGAAATCGGGCGTGGGGGAGGGAGAAAGCGTGGGGAGGAAATCGAGAAGAAATCGGGCGTGGGGAGGAGAGTGAGGAAATCAGTGGGGGGGAGGGGAGAAGAAATGGGGCGTGGGGGAAGAGGGAGGAAATCAGAGAGTGGGGAGGGTGGGGGAGTGGGAGGAAATCAGAGGGTGGGGCAAAGGGAGTGGGAGGAAATCAGAGGGTGGGGCAAGAAGAACGAGAGGAAATCGGGAGGAGAGCAAGAGGAAATTGGAGGGGGAGGGCATGGAGACAGAGAGGGAGAAAAGAAATCCTAAAAGGAAAGAAATTTTAAAAAAACAAAACTTTTAAAAAGATAAGCTGAAGCTAATTTTATAATTACTCGAAATTGAAAAATGAAATTTCATTAAAATACAGAAAATTATAAAAAAAAATATAAAAGGAAATTGAAATGAATTAAAATAAAAAGCATCTAGCAAAAATGAAATATTTGATTGAAATCATCTCTGCAAATCCGATTAGTCTTGATCAGCCATATAATGTTGTCAGTGTACATGCAAATTATTACTTACTGCATCCATATATGTAGTGCTTTGTCATAGTCCTGATTTGAATAATAAAGCATAGCCAGTGGGTGGTAGCACTTGTATTTCTCCAGGCATTCAACACTGTCTGACAGATCACAGTTATGGTTGGCAGATACCAAACGTAGAAGGTCATCACTGTTGTGGTCAGCATACAGTTTCAATAAGGCAGTGTCTACAACCTTTAAGGTTATAAAAAGAAATTCGTTAAAAAATTAATATGCTAATTACAATCATTCAAATATCTGAATTTGCAATATGAAACGTACATTTGTCTTTATTAATTTTTGATACAGTTTTTCATTTTCATCTTGTTGCCTTTTTTTTTTTCCCCAAGGTCAGTTTCTACAACTAGAATGTGAACAGCAGGAATTTGAAATTAAATAAGCACAAGGTGCTGAAAAGGTCTCAGCCCAACCACAAAGTATGGCCTCAGACCATGAAATGTATACACTATGTCAGATATTTACCTGAGAGTTTTTGACACAATGTTTCTTAAGTTTAACACTTAGCAAGAAAATGTGATTGGAATATTGATTTTTGGAAGAAGGTCAAGCCAAAGACATTTCAGCACTTCCTTGTGTGCGTGTAAGCCCATAATTGTTAAGTTAATGATTGAATAAACTCCTTCAACAACTATAAAATAACTGTGGAAATTTCCCTATTGTGTTTTTAAATATTTGAGCTTGAAAACTTTAAACAAAATATTACAATAATAAGTATAAGTATGAAAGCAGGTCATTATTTAAAGAAGTAAGGGAGTACAAATGAAAGGATTTGAAATTGATAAGTTTTTCCATTTCACGAAAGTGGACTTAAAAAAGACATGAAAGTGGTGTCAGCTCCTCTGTCTTCTTTCTTCCCTTTTCTCACTGAAACCAGACAGCGTCTCTGATATATCTTTTCTGCCTTTCCTCGCAATCAAAGCGGAATAGTCTATTATTTATAAACTATTGGCAGGGAGTAATGGTCGTGCTAACTAAGGAACAAAGAATTATAATGTGATGCTGGAAGGAATTGATTAAGACCCTTTTTTTTCTTTTAAGATGTGGAAAACAATTGTATCAGTCCACAACAGAATTTGAATGTTTTCAGTTTGCTCTCCTAGTATACTGTAGATTAGGGTACAATATGATAAGCCATAAGAAGCCTCAATGAAAGAATATTATCTTTTTTAAACTAATGATATTTGGCTCTTACTTACCTTCTGATCTTCTTTACTTAATGAAGTTTCTCGAACTTCTTCAAGATAAAATTGCAAAAAGTGTTTGTAGCCAACTAGTTGTTCACTGTTGCTTTTAGTCAGTTGGTTGATGTCTGCAATGTCGTGGAGTGGTGGCATTGATCGAGTAAACTGGCAAGTCGGAGTTAACATCCGAGGATATAAACTGACCAACTGTGAAAAGAGAAATAAGATGATGACAAAAGGTTGTTTGTGGTGTGGGTTCTACCAATTGTGCCTTACCTAACATTTGCAAAAGTAGAACAGTTACACTTATCTGAGCAGTTCATCCGATGAGGTCCAGGGGACAGAAATTGTAAATATATAACAGAGCAGATGTCTGCAATGGGGATTAGCTAGCTGCCCTAGAAGACTGACATCCTTGGATATAAGTGGCTACACAATGTTTTTTAGATGTTAAATGAATATTACATGTTTAAAATAAATAAAAATTGGTTTTGGGAGGGGGGGATAAGAATATTTATTTCTTCGTATTTATTCATCAGCAATAATAGAATTCCCTAACCCTTTCTAATGTAGTAATGAATTCTAACACAAACAGTGATTTAATAATGAACACAATTCAATTCTCTGCTATGGTTTGGTGCTGAAATGAAGAAAATAATTCCAATGTCCAATGGTACTAACAGCATTTTATATAACAAAAGGACTATTCCTAGTTGCTGTCATTTGTTATGTTTTTGTTTTACCGACATAATACTTCCATCTCATGTTTAACCATCTTTGTACAGTTTCAGGTGACTGAGTTTTGAATTCAGAGTTGCCCTTGTCCTAGATTGGTTGTCAGTTCTACTATTTAACCTATAGCTGAGAGGGGAGAAGAGATAGATTTATATTTTTCCAAAGGGTATTTCTGCAAAGTGACTAACAAACTCGACCAATTTCTGGTTCTAAACTACTAACCATTACATGATCTGTGTATCCATGAAAAAATAGTAAATAAATGAAAAAAAAAATTTCCTAGAATCATCAAAAAACGTTCTCAGAACTCTACAAGTGAGGAGGACAAATTGTATGTATATGGTAATGCCAATATTAACCATTTCATTATAAGGAAACATTTGCCATTGAGTGAGCAGCCAGTATCATTTTCAGTTGGGAGGGTAGATTACTTTTTCGCATATGTACATTACTGAAGAGATCTAGTAATTTTTGGCTGGTTGTTTGCCATGATTAGGGTTGTTGAGGGTTTGTAGAATAATTTTTTGTGGAAACTGTATTCATTGAGTACGCCTAAATTCTTATTTGAACCAAGAATGTGTGAATTTCGTTTAAAAATGCATTTATTTATACAGTAATACAAGCCATTTCCCTACAAGGAAACATTTGGCATTCACTGACTGAACAGCCATTACTGTTTTCGGTTGAAATTTATGAATTTTTTCTCTTAAAACATTCTTTTTGAAAAACAGATTTCTCAAGTCCAGTAGATGTTATTGCTCTTTCTTTTGGGGGTTTCCTTCCTAACCTTTTATTTGAGGTGGTGTGGAATGTTAACATATGTCATTATTTTCCCTTCTAGTTACATGTGCTATCCATTTTAGTTGTTGTTGCTGTTGGTAGTTCTCAAGTGATGTGGTTTCTACTATTTGGCACAGTTCTTTGTGGTTCCACATTTTCAACATTATCATTTTCTTTCTTGTATGCCATATTTTTGGTGCTTTTTGGATGAATTGCCCTACACAATGTTCAAAGAAGGATGATCTTTGCCAAGACCCTCATAAACCACTTTTCACCACTGACCTTAGAAAGCAATTGCATACAGCTGAGAGTTTAGATATTTCTGAACTGGTTTGGTGCCATGCATGACATCCATATGAAAGTCTCAATGTGACATACAACATTCTGCTAATATTAGAAAGAAAGAAAAAAGACAAAGTGACTTACTTCTTTGACATCAACTTCTCCTTTTCGAAACAACTCTCGGGCTTCATCAAAGTGCCCAAGAGAGAATTCTATAAATCCTGCTTGCTGCTGAATTCTGCTCAACATCTGAAAATAAAAAAAAAAAAAAACAGTTTCTTAGTAAACAACAATAATTAACTAAAACAAGAACTGTTGACAAAAAACACCAAATATTGGTGAATTAATTATTCTTGGAAATGGTTTCTGTGATACAATTTCAACATGACCGTTTTATTCCTAGTTTTACTTCATTATATTAGTTTAGCTTTTTAGACGTGTTTTTTGCTTTTCTTTTTACAATGATGTTCAGCCTGTACAAGGCCCAAGAGTCAATCAAGGTAGAGGGTTACAGAGTAAGAGGCACAGTTTATGAGAATGTGTGTGGAAGATAACTGTTAATCCTAGACTTGAATAGGTTGATTGTGGTGAGTTTGTGAAGCATCCTCTTGGGAGTCAGTCCACAAAGTAGCAGTTCATGGGAAGAAGTGGAATTTACATTTTGTCAATGAGATTATGAAGGGAATGAGGGTGGTCTGCTACATTGTAGATAGAACTGGTACAACTGAGGAATGTAGTTTGTCTGACCACTTTCCATAGAAATAGCAAGAGAGGCTTGCAACATCTCGTCTGAGAGAAAGAGGTTGTAAGGTGGAAAATAATTTGTCACCCCCAAGGATGTGGAGATGCTTTTGGACTCTATTAAGACTGGAAAGTGAACACTGGTCAGCTCCTGCCCATATATGGCAGCATGCCATTTGGGGAATTTCAAACTGAAACTTTTATTTAATCTACAGGAAATAGTGACATAGCAGTGAGAGAATTGCAATTTTTCAACTATGAGAAAGGGAGTAAAGGGGGGAAAATAATTTGTCACCCGCCCAAGGACATGGAGACACTTTTGGACTCTATTAAGACTGGAAAGTGAACCCAGGACAGTTCCTGCTCATTACTCATTATTGGCATTCGGATAAATCTCCACATCTTTGTTGTCATTATCACAACATATTCGCTGTTATACCTTCCATAATATTAAAAGAATTTCAAACTGAAAACTTTATTTAATCTTAGGGAAATAGTGATAGAGCAGAAAAATTCTTGCAACATTTCAAGTATGAGAAAGGGGTTGCATGGTGGTAAATAATTTGTCACCCTCAAGGATGTGGAGATGCTTTTACACTCTATTGAGACTGGAAAGTGAACAATGGGCAGTAGTACTCTATTTTTGTCCTGATCTGTCTTTTATAAAGAGAGAGGATAGGGGGAAGAATCAGGTACTTACTGGAGTGGTACAGGGAAGTGACCATTTTTTCAGTATCTTTAGCAATGAATTTCAATACATTTGTTTTTATTTCTAATTTTACTTCATCGTATTGTTGTTGCTTTTTAGATGAAGGCTTTTGTTTTTTATTATTTTATTCCAAGTTTTACTTTGTCGTATTATAGTTGCTTTTTAGATGAAACATTTTCAACATTATCATTTTCTTCCTTGTACATCATATTTTTGGACAAATTGCCCTATACAATGTTCAAAGAAGGATGATCTTTGATCTTTTATTTTATTCCAAGTTTTACTTTGTCGCATTAATGTTGCTTTTTCGATGAAACATTTTCAACATTATCATGAAACATTTTCAGCTTTATCATTTTCTTCCTTGTACATCATATTTTTGGTGCTTTTTGGCTGACTTGCCCTACATTTTTAGCGAAGATAGTGGAACTGTTTCCCCTTCTTGTCACAGTTTGGAATTTTCTTCCCTTAAAATAGTTGCAACTCAAGGCAAGAGAATCCAGTCTAGCCTGATATTTAACCCATGGTTAGGGGTAAGAATAGATTGGTTCACACCTTTCCTAAAGTAGTAGTGGATTTAATAGCCTTAACAGTTAAAATTTCTTAAAATGATGTTGTCATTATTAATGTTTACATTTTTTTTGTGTTTTTTTTTTTTTTTTAAGTCAAAAGTCATTTCTACATCCATCATTCATCAATTAAGCGGCATGAATTTTAAATTGTAAAGTAGCCATCAACAAGACTATAACTTACATCCCATATCCTGAGGAGCTTATCTGACAGCTGCGGAAGTCAATCAGTCTTACTTTTCCAATTGACTCCCACCATTATTATTATTATTATTATTATGATAGACATTCATTAACGTTAAATTCACGTGTTTCCAATAAACTCACCTTTTGAAACTTATCTTTAGCAAGGCCTGTTCGGTTAGCATTGTTTACCAATTCCAAAGCTTCAGAAACCCTTTTGTCTGCTAATAATGCTTGAATCTTAAAAAAGAAAAATAAAGAAGAAGGGGGTCAAATACATAACGTACATGTTATTTATAATTTATTTGCTTTTTTCTTCTTATAGTAACATAATGTATGCACAAATGCATTTCAAGATACCGTCACCTGTGGTGAATATTTTATTTAATGTGGGCTGTTTATTTTATGTAATAATAACTTCTAGGGATTTGAGTCAATCATTACATTGGATACTGTAGAATATTTCAATATTATTCACTAATATCTGTCTTATGTTGATAGTTGTATTTTGGTACATGGATTGAGTTTTGACAGGTGACAGGATAATCTATGAGAGTGTGTATGCCCAATATAAGCATTTAATGCCGTTTTTTGATTATTAATGTTGGTGTTACAGGGGACATGAGAATTCATAGACAACATTATTTTTACACTGGGGACGGGGGAGGTTGAGTTCCCATGTTGTTGAAATTAATGTTTAAAATTTTTTTTTTATAATAGATGATAAATCACACACTTTTTGCATGGTCTTGTTCCTAATAACAGTTACATATGACTTCACATTAGACCATTTCAAACTTCCAGGTTTCCTAAGAATACCTGAATACAGATAAAGCAATTGTTACGAGGATGCATTTCTATAATAAGCGATTTCACTGAGTTCTACTTGTTATTACAAAAAAGTTTTCATTCATGAAGTAGTTGTAAAATAGAGAAATTAGAGATAGAATGTTTGGAAGATTCTAGATCATTCTAGTATATTCGAGAAAAATCTAGATGATTTGAGAAATATCTAGAAATATGCAAATTAGGTGTTAGCCCCTATAAAAATGGGATTTTGGAAAAGGGTCGTTAGTTGATGAATGGGAATTTCTGCTGTTATCAACTCCGGCTTTTGATTCAAGGACTATTATATCCAGCCGAAAGAATCTCTATAAAAAGTTGCCGCCCAACCAAAACCCAAAAGAGAATTTCATGGAACAAATTTGGTAAATAGAATTTTGACTAATTTTCATTGACCAAACTAAAAATTAATATTTATTTACACACCTTTGTGGATTTCCAAATATAGCACTTAGATTACTTCACTAGCCCTAAAAAGTGATAAAGATATTTGATTCCCTTTCCTTCTTCCTCGTAACACTTCGCCAGTAACTCTTTGTTTTCTGTTTTGTAGGCCACAATTGTTTATCCTGTATATATTTTATGTTCTGTTTTTTTTATTAAATTAAATATTTGTTTGTGATTTAGCTCTGTGTTGTGGTAAATCATTTTTTTTTCCTTTGTTAGAATTGTGTTACGTGTTGATAATTGTAACTACTACAGAGACACCATATTGGTTCTTGAAAATGACTGAGATGGTTGAAAGTACCCATCAAAAAATAACGTTTGAACTAATACAAATGTTGGATTAAAAATCCATTGATTCTTATACAGAGAAAGAATAAATAAAGGTTCAAATGACTTATTTTTCAACCAATTTCAAAGTTTCATGGCAACACTACTCATCAGTGTCAGAGAGTCAAATAAATCTCCTGAATTCTTAAATAAAATCCAATGATCATTCCTGATTCTATTTAAGAGCACTCAGAATTTGCAGCCCTCAATATTTACTCAAAGAGGAGAAATATATTGAAGATACATTCAAGACACTTCAATACCCTATTTTATATTCAATGTGAAACAAAAAGCTCATAAGATATTCCAAAATAGAAGAGCTGTCCTTCCTGACAAACCTAACGAATCAAAAAAATATGTTATTTACCCATTAACTCTATCACAACTACAACTGAAAAGAATTTATCTAAACTCAACGTAAAATTTGTCACAATTACATCTAAAACAATCAAAGACTTAATCAATAAAAAATCAAAACAAGTCAAAACTTGAAGTAGGAATTTAAATGTAGGAATTGCCAGAATTAATACATTAGAGAAACCTCAAGAAGTTTAAACAAGAGACTATATGAATACAAAAGGGACATTTTAAATAACAACACACAAAACATATTGATTGTTCACTGTAACAAAATGAGCCACAATTTTGACATAGGGAATGCTACTTTGATTAAAAGAGAAAATAATTCACTGAGACAAAAATGTCTGGAAAGTGCCTTGATAAATTTGTGTCCAGGCTCTTACAATATATTACCATTGTTGGTAGATTTTGTGTTGTCACAAAGTGGGATAGTTAGGGACAAAAGTGTTGAAAAGGATATAGATGAAGTTGGCAAGAGTGAAAAAAAAAAAAATTCTTTCAAAAATTTTGAAACTACCAGTTTCTCTTGTTTCATGCACATATGTAGACATGACAACATCAACAAAGCACAGTCTGATAAAATCTTAATGGATGAAATGCATCACAAAAACGTTTTCCAATTTGTTATACTATTTTCCTATATATAACTAAAATAAATCCTTAAGAGCCAGGAAAACCTATCTAGGTTACTCTGAAGATCCGTTTAGGTGAAACCTAAGTAGGTTTTCCTGGCTCTTTAGGATTTATTTTTGTTATTCCCGTTCTACTTAGAGTATTGAGCACTCTACATTTTAGTCTTACTACTCGCTTGGATTTTTTTTCTTTGGACTAAAGACTTAAAGCACTGGATGATTTATTTCGGCCTGTTTGGATGTTTTTAGTTCTTTCTTTTTTTCCTTGGGCACCAGTTTGTTTTGACATATCTACAAGTTGAGCTATCTGAGGTTTTTTCCAAATGAGTATTACTATTAGTATATACATGTATATAATTAATATAACATTTAATAATATTAACTTTGAACATGAACACAATATCTTGACCGCGTTTTGAAAATGAAAACATTTTATAAAACATACATACAGCAAACTATTTTTTATTTAACAGTTAAAATATTTAATCCTTGAAAATGGCTAAATGTATAGCCAAAAGCACTCTGATAAAAAGAACATTCGGACAGTTTTTATATAATTTATCATCCGAAAATAAAAGAATTATTAGATCACAAGAGAAATTGTATAAAAAAACTAAATAAAAGAACCTTGTCTGTCGTATTCAATGAAATGTGCATGAAAAAAGATTTGCTGCCTAAATACACAAAAATATATATATATATATATATATATATATATATATATATATATAATATAAAAAGTTCAAACACTAATATTCCATGGTTATAATTTATTACATTGGTATCCTAATCATGAGAAGTGGATCGTGATTACGATTCCAATCTAATAAATTATAACCATGGAATATTAGTGTTTGAACCTTTTATATTATATTCTTACTCTGTCCTGGATTTTACCTGGATTCTATCCTCTTGGGAATATATATATATATATATATATATATATATATTTATTAATTCTGGCATTGTAAAATATATTTTTGTAAAAAATAAAGAAAATAAACTCAGCAAATTCACTGACGGTCATATAATTGGAATATTAGACACATTTAAATCATTGCTGGTTGGTTGATTTTGTTTAGCAGTATATCAACACATCTATGAGTTATTTAATACTGAAATCTAAATATTTTGTATATAATTTTATACTTTTAACTAGACATTTTGATCAGCTGAAAAACACCTTGCTGAAAAAAAAAAAGAAATTGATCTAGCCAATTGGAAGGTGGAAGCTGCAGCAAGAAATAATTGGAGATGAGTAGTCCCTGCAAAAAACAACATCCTTTGAAAACACCAGAAAGCAAATAAAGAGACAAAGAGAAACCCAAAGAAAAACCAGAGTTCTCAATCCCCCTGAACCGTCCTACCCTATCATGCTGAGGCTGTGGACACCTCTTCAGATCTAACGTAGAACTCCTTTTAGACAGAAAGAAATGTCAAGGAGTGCCCCAATACTTAGCAATGTATTCTGTTGTCAACGACAAAAACATAATTTTATACTTTCAGGGTAAATTTATTTTTTTTTTTTTGTTTAGATATATAGTTAGTTTTTTTTTTTCTTTTTTTTTTTGTTTAGATATATAGTTAGTTTTTTTTTTTGTTTAGATATATAGTTAGTTTTTTTTTTTTCTTTTTTTTTTGTTTAGATATATAGTTAGTTTTTTTTTTTTTTTTTTTTTTTGTTTAGATATATAGTTAGTTTTTTTTTTTTCTTTTTTTTTTGTTTAGATATATAGTTAGTTTTTTCTTTTTCTTTTTTTTTGTTTAGATATATAGTTAGTTTTTTTTTTCTTTTTAAAATGTATTGCTGGTAATTTCACTACAAAAATGTATTGTTGGTAATTGTTTTCATGAAAATGTACTGTTGATTTTTGTTTTTTTTTATGAGGGGGGGTGTTCAATATTTGTCTACTGCTGGGACCCTGACAGGTGCTACTATCCTGGTTCAGGGTGGACCTGGGAACAACATCAATTAAGAGGTGGTTCCATGCTCCTCAAAACAGTCAATCTCCCGTTCAGAGGCCTTGCTGTAAGATCTTAGTTTATAGTCATACCCAGGACGAGATCTAAATCATTGTAATATTAGAAGTTTCCAAGTGGTACTACCATGTAAGTACTGATCAGGCTCAAGGATGCTTAACTTTGATAATTGAACAAGAACTAATGCTTTTAGTGAGTGCGTGATAAAATACAGTCATAAGGTATGCTATATTTATAGGAGAAAAGTACTCAATATCATGGCCAGAGTATATATGTAAATATAAGCAGGGTGGACATAGATATCATATCATAAAAGGCAACAGTCTCTTCCATTATTTTTTTAAACACAATTGTCAAGTGATATTGTAGAGTAGCTAGACTGTATATGTTTGTCACAAGAAAAATATCGGTTGAAAAGCTGGTTATTTTTAGTTCTTTGTGAAAATAGGCAGGAAAATGGTTACTTCCTGTTTATTGTATTTTTGTGATGGCTATTGTGTTGGATTGTTTGCTATTAATTGTCTACGTCATTGAGAGATGGGTTGTAAGTTTAACACGTTGGCTCCCATAGGACCTACCAGAGTGTCGTTGTAGTAATGTCTGCAAGGCCTACATGACTCTCTGGTGGGTTGTTTTCCAGTTTCTTTTGTATAAGGATTATTGGGAGTGGGATGCTATGAGACCATGGTACACCAGAACCACATTTTTTACCAGAAAAAAAAAAAAACAAAAAAAAAAAAAACAAAACACAATATTTTTATGTTTTTGCCTTTTATATCATTTTCCCTTTGGAATTTCTGCTGTTGTTTTTTTTTTTTTTTTTTTTTTTTTTTGGTGGGGGGGCATTTTTTTTTTAAACATAATTCAGGAAAACTCAAAGTTTGAGTAAACAGAAAATTTACTTGGCAAAATATTATAAAATGAAAAAAAAAAAAAAAAAAAGTAAACTTTATTTACTTAAGAAACTAAAATAATTCCTACAAGCAATAAAATAAACACAAGAATTCTAATCTAATAAAAATCTCATTCCTATTAAATAAAAATATTCCTAATGTGTGATTTCTTGAAATGATATAAAAGAAGAAATATAAAAGCAAATATTGCTACACGTCAAGGAAAAGTTGAATTGATTCTTATTTTATATTTTCTATGTCTCTTATTGAAATATTCAAGGCAAAGGGAAAAATTACCTTCACATTCAGTACAAATTTTGGGTTTTCTTTTTTTTATCAGCTTCCTTTGCACTCATTGTTTTTTTTCTCATTTTGCTATAACAGGATTTAAGATATAGTTTTGGGATCCTGGGACAACAAGGGAAATGAGGCTTGGGGGCCAAAGTATTAATAAATTTCTTAACCCCACTAGATAGGGAGGCTAATATTTTATATGTCTCTTATTGACAAACAAAGGAAATAAGGTTTGCAAACTAACATGCTAAGGTTTATATTTAAGTCATTCAGTGATGACTTGTAAGTTTAGGATTGGCATTTTTTTTACTTTTATTTCTTATCAATTATTGAAATTCTTCAGCTCTGCAAGCAGCAGCTTATTTAAAAGCATTGCTGAGTTCTGCTTTATATATATATATTGTCAAATTCCCATATTTTATGTAATAATAACTAGAGAAAGGATGAATAATAATTTACCTGCTTTTCCCAGGCCACAGGTACCAGAGTATAAATCTCCTTACTTGAAGATACAAAAATACGTCCATCAAAGTCACCCAACAACGTCCCTCCTTGAAATGGAATGGCTTGTTTTTGTTGTTGATCAAGAATACTGCAATTGACAAAAAGATAAAAGAGAAATAAATTTCATATATAACAATGGTAGGAATGAAACAAAAATATTGCCTCACATCAAAGAAATGAAGTGAAATTTTTGGATTGGGATAAAAAGTCAAAATAGTTACAATGGTGTAAGAATAAATAGAATAATTTATTTTTTGCTGGATTTAACAATACACTGTACTATTTAATGTCAGAATTTCTTTTATGAAATTTCTTTAAGTGTAGCAATAGGATTTCTCACACATCTTTACGAGATGAATAGATTCTTTTTCCTTTTAAATCAATTTAATGACCAGGGTTTCTCAGGAATCTTGTCTCCAGACCATCTTTGTGTAAATTTAGTGACCAGGGTTTTTCGGGAATACTATCTCTCCATCCCACCTTTGAATGGTCAAACAAAGTTTTGTTAGTGTTTTTAGGTAGCCTATGGTAAGGTCCTTTGAAAGACTGATCACCCAAAACTTATCTGAGTGGTTTGGTTTGTTTTGTTTTACAGCATATCAACCTCAGTGGGTCATTTAATGCCGACAACATTTTTTTTTCCTGGTAATATTTTTGTTTTGTCAAAAATCCATTTCTGTTAATTTATTTTTTCTCAAAAACGTATAGCTGGTAATATTATTTTTTCAAAAACGTATAGCTGGAAATATTATTTTTTTTCAAAAACGTATATCTGGTAATATTTTTTTTCAAGAACATACAGCTGGCAACATTATTTTTTCAAAAACGTATTATCAGAGGCCTTGCTGTTGGACATAGTTTATCGTCATACTCAGGATGTGGATGCAATCTGAGTGTTAACTATTTGCCCATAACTGGAACCCTAACAGGTGCTACCACCCTGGATCAGGGTGGACCTGGGAACACCAGCAATTAAGAGGTGGTTCTACGCTCCTCAAAACCTTCTGATCAGAGGCCTTGATGTTGGACGTAGTTTGTCTTACCCAGGATGCAAATGTAGTTTGTCATCATACCCAGGATGTTTGTCTGGGTGGTTCCCCTTTCCAGTTGGAGGAACACAAGTGAACAGAAAGGGGTGGTGGCTCAACCAGGTAGCATCCATTTAATGAGCAGTCAGTGAAATGGCCAAGCAGTGAGTGTGTAGAGGTCTGTTTTCTGTGACCGGAACTTGAAGAGCAACCAAGAGGTGGCTCCACACTCCTCAAAACCTCCCGACCAGAGGCCCCATTGCTGGACGTAGTTTATCGTCTTACCCAGGATGCGGATGCAGTTTATCATCATACCCAGGATGGCCCACTGCTGTAATGTCTTTGGTACCTTGACTTTACAAATTGAAAAACCCATTAACTAGATTGGCTGTTAAGTCTCATTATGTTACAGTTGAAATGGCCAGATGCAACAATAAGTTTTATGCTAACAGTTTCTCTTGAACTTCCAGCTTCTTGCGTTCCAGTCAACTTTGATTTTCAAAAATTTAAATGTAATGTCAATTATCTTCAATGATCTTAATTCCTGTTTTTTTTATTGTTCTCTCTCCTTAATGTTTTTCTCTTTCTCATATTCTTTCCGATTCAGTAAGTCCTTCTGTCTTAGTGGCTTTATTAGGATTAAAAAAAAAAAAAAAAAAAAAATTAGGGGACTTGACTTATCAATCAATCCTTGTAAATCTGAAGAGAAATAAATTGACTTCATTTTCATGCCAATTTAGTTATTAGGTCTAAAAATTGCTTTATAGGATTGAAGACCTTACTTATTAATCAACTCTTAAATTTATTAAACTACTTACCTGTGTACAGTAATAAACTCTGAATTAAGGGCACATATGTAAGGATGAATGTAGCCAACACTGACTAAATTATCAGACCATTGAAGAGGAGGTCGTTGTGAGATACCATCTGATGTGACAAACATTCCAAGGGCATTAGGACCTCCAAGAAGAAAGTCACCCTGGGGGGGAAAAAAAAGTAACAATTAAACTTATTGAGATAATATTAACAAAGATTATCGTATAATCCGATAGTACAGTCAAAAATAGTTGTTGTTCCACTGGATAATGTGATAACAGTTTAATATTAACTCAAGTATGAAAGGAAGTGCATCGGAGTATAATGAATAATGACACAGAATGAGAAATCATTGCAGAGTTTGAATTCCAGTTGGGTTCATTACATTCCATTACAAGCAAATACCATTGGGAAAGGTATGAATCCATCACTTCTCCTCCCAACATATGAGTTAAATAGCAGGATAAACTTAGCCTTATAGCCTTGATTGGAAACCAGTCTACAACAGAAAGAAATGGCAGCCTATTGTGGGGAATCTTGTCTAGTCAGCCATGAATTGAAAGAGACATGATTGCCTAAGTGTGTATCATGTACGGCACTTGACTGACTCCTTAACCATTACCTCACCAAATTCCTTTTAGAATTGTTCCTCCCCGCCACCATTGCATTTTTCTGAGGGTGCAAAAATCATGAGCACCTACTGTTTTAAAATTGTTATAACTTTTTTTTGTATTGTGTGTATAAATTTTATTTTTGTATACTAATAAAAGAATGGATGACTAATATTTTGATGTAATGCATTACGTTTTGCATGCATGTTTTGATGTTGAAAACAAAAAAAATTAAAACGCAAAATAAAAAACAAATACATTAAAAAATACATAAACAATTTAACATACTTTAACTTTTATTACTCCTTGTGGAGTTCTGGGATGCAATAAGAAGCAAAATGGCTAAGAAGGCCTTCATTTCATCAAAAGTGATGTCCTTCCACATGTTTACATACAAGTAGACATCAGCATTTGTTCCTCTCCTTTCCTTCACCTGGCTAGCATATTTGTTTGTCACATTGACAAATAAAGTTATTATTTCATCATTTATAAATAGACAAAATAATTCACCTTCAGAAAGACTATCAGGTACATCCATGGGCCAGTAGCATCCATAAAAATAGTCAGCCATTAACCGCTCAACACCTAGTGGTCATCATAGCTCCCCCTCCCCGGTCACTAGCATGGTTATTATCTCTATCTCTGACCAGTTCACTGTTGACATCTACCTGAGTAAAGCTTTCAAAATCATAATCAGAGCCCAAATCAAAGAAAAACTCCTAAATGAAGGTTTTGTTGAACGTTGATGCGGCCATTTTTGTTTAAAAAAAATCATGACAAAATTAATGTTGGTTTTATTGATGTTACACCTGGTGTAGAGAAATTAAAAATGGCGTCAGAAAACAGAAGTTTAGCCTCATTCCAAAATGGGAGTAGACTATTTCCAGCTTAAAATACTGGAAATAACAGTTGACAAGTGTTTATTTATAGCAACCCTCTTGAGGTGACAGAATTCATCTACAGGTGAAAAGGGAGAGAATTCTATGGTGACAATTTTTGCCTCCAGCTAGATAAAAGTTAATAATGTTTTTCTTATCATATTCTTTCACATTCAGTAACCTGTTGTGTCTTAGTGGCTTTATTGCCTTGCTTGAATTGAGAAAAGAGAACTGCAATAAATTCTATTGTAAACATTCTCTGAATCAATAACAAACCTGATTACAAATTTTGAAAATTCGTCTATGTGCTATGTCCCTTCAGGACATAAACATCATGGTTCTCCACAACTTCCTATCTTTGGGGCCCTTAAGGCGACAGGCTTGTCAGTTAAGTGACACATTACCTTCTATCTCTCTTGCCTCAATATGCCCTGTGAGGGAAGTTTACCAAGCCCTCCTTCCTCATTATGCGTCCAAGGAATTTCAGCTGGTTTCTTTCTGTTGCTATTCTCTTTAAGACGTCATTGTTGCTTATTCACTACGTCCATGTAATTCTCAGTATCCTTCTGTAGAACCACATTTCTGCTGCCTCTAGTTTTCTCCTTGTCCATGGGGAGATTGTCCAACATTCACTGCCATACAAGAGGATGGATATCATGTAGCAATCTTGCACTTTTTTCTTCGTTTCTAATACAGTTCCCTTTCCAGTATCAATAGAGTTTAAAAAGCATCTCTGCATCCTTGTGGGTGATGAATTATTTATTGCTTGCCTCTCACCCTCTATTTCCACGGAAAGTGCTCAGACAAACTACATTCCATCGTTCTACAAACTCTAACCTTCACAGCTAAGACCTGCCATTACTATGTATATTGTAGCAAGCAACCCTCATTCCATTTGTATTCCATTCGTGAGATGGAAGTCCCACTTGAGCAGCTTCTTCAAAAGAGGATGTTTTCCTGACCACTAAAATTTCAACCTGTTACAGTCTAGGGTTAACTACTATCTTACCCACATATCTGAATAAACTTTGCTTCCTACTTTGTAACCGTCTACCTCTCTGTATCTGTCTATATTCTTGAGATGAGGTATTATGTACACTATTTACATTGTTTGGACTATCATCCTCATCTTTGTTGCCATATTTATCATAACGTTTCGGCCGTTGTACACTCCGGCCTTCTACCTCTCTGTAGAAAAAAAAAAAAAAAAAAAAAAAAACACAATGAAATTTCCATAATCTACAAATCGCTTCAAATTAATATACAACTGGGCTATTTCATTTTATCAGCGGCCCTTATGAAATTGGCATTTAATTGGTATTCATTGGCTGAATGACTAATGTTACTCAAGTTACACCTTTCTTCACTCCCTGATGTGCAGTATCTGTTCTCTTCTTCTCTAATAGTAATAGGAACTGTTTTCTTATAAAGAAATATTTGGCATTCATTGGTTGAATGGCTAGTGTTACTCGAGTTATGAATTTGTTCACTATCTGGTCATCAGGGTGGGATCAATGTATAGTTTGTGTGTGTGTGCATATATATATATATATATATATATATATATATATCTATCATCTGGATATCATCCTCCTCGGGTCTACCCATACGGATTACCTAAGTTTGCATAAACTATATATATATATATATATATATATATATATGTAAATTGTGTATTTGGCCAGCAATCTCTCTTTTATACAAGTTTCTTTAAAAACAACTGATAAGGTACTGTGGTTAATTTTTTTTTATTTCATTTTTCTGGTTCTTATTTTTTTTTTTTCTTTTCTGGACCTAAAGTATCTAGAAATTGACAAAATATTCTGTATCTTGGCTATCCTTTTAGGTATTATCCAGGATGATTTTATTTTTATTGAATATATGTATGTATCTAGAGTTATAGGAATGTTTCTATTTTCCAAAAATGGTTAGCACATTTTGGTTAATGTTATTGAGTGTTGGCTTTTTCTTTTTTATTAATAGCTAGCCAAATTATCCGTTCGTTGTCACTTTTTTTTTTGTAAGAAAATGATGACTGATTTTAAATCATTGTTATAATTTTTTCAGAAAAATGATGCATTTCAATATTATTCAATGATATTGCTGATGTGACCTCTATCTTCTGGCTTTCTCCTATATTTTGGATAGGAGTCATTAGTTGTAAAAATAGAAATAATTGTAGCTAACGGAAGGTACACAAGTTGATACCCGATCAGTATTGTCTGGGTCACCATGGAGGGGGGGTATGATGTTGAAAGACTCAAAACCCCTAATGAACCTTGTCTAGAAACATCACTGATGATGTGTACTTAAGCATCCAATAGATGATGTATTATATAAAATTCCCTTGTTCAAATTTAAATTTAATTTATATCAAAGGGAAAAAAATTTTCAGTGGTGGGTTTGTATCCCCAGGGACTCTCTTTGATCAAAATGAAATATACTTATCCAGGAACCCTGGGTAATGTAGTTTCAGAATATACATATATATATGGTTATGTGGGTTTATCTCCAAAAGCCTAGGAAGAGTTCAATGAATTGAGGAGCAGTTTTCAACATTGATATGACAGTTGAATTGTCAAAACAATTATGTATTGTAAGCCACTGCCCAGTGATTGGTGATTCCTTGCTCAACTTGATGTTCATATTGTCTCATTTTGATATTGCCAATGTGACCTCCATCTTCTGGATTTCTCCCTCTATATTTTGTATTGGAGTCATTCCCTTGTTCAAATTTAAATTTAACTTTAAAATTTTCAGTGTTGGTGGTGGTGGGGGAGTTGTGCCGTTGTGAGATTTCAATATTGACACTCTCTACACCCTTGTGCAAATTAATTGAAACAACCACTTTAAATTCCTTTTTTCACCATACAGTCAGTTTTAGACTCCTGAGAGTGGCAGTGTGTAATCGATTTCTATTTTTCCTCAGATGTATTTATTTTCATGGTGTATGATGAAATTTTTTTCGCCTTGAAAAATATTGCATCATCCATGATTGCATCAAATTTTCTTCACGCCCAGACACTATTGCCTTGACTGTCAATTAGTTGTCCTACAGCCATTATCTGCAACGGACGTTACTCCAAGGGAGTATACGAAAATTGTGATGCTGCACGAACACACTGGCAAGTCTTATCAGTGAGCAAATCAAAGTACTGTCCCAGAAATTCTCCTGATTTAAATCCAATCGAGTAGTCAATCTGCAAGGAACGACATCGTGGAATGGATGTACAAAGTACTAAGATGTGCACTGGGTCATGTTTCATTGGAGAAATACAAAAAACAAAAGTAAATAATAACAGAATTATTCGTTTTGTTTCAATTAATTTGCACAAGGGCGTATGTCTTTGAGGCCATTAAATTAGATGCCATTGCTGCTGGCAAAAAAACAAGAAAATGCCTTTTCATCAATGTGGCTGTTTATGTTGGCCATAACATCAAGGTCAAATATATTAAAAAACTTAAGAAATATACTGATCTTTAGATCGAAGTTGTCATAATGAGGGATGTTCAAGCCACTATTGTTCAAATTATCACTGGGTTGTTAGGGTCTATTCCATTGAGCTTAAAGGACTATATTAAAAAACTCGGAATAAATTCTGGTATCCCATCGCTTTATAAGTCGACATTGATTGGCTCTGCAAATATTCTGCAAAAGGTGCTGTTTGAGATCATACGACTTGATGGAGATCACCCATAATGCAAGATCTCCAGTTGAAAATGAAAAACTTGGCAGAAGGACAGTATTTACATTAGTCGGACTATTGTCCTCATCTTTGTCGCCATATTTGTCACAACGTTTTGGCCGTTGTACGCTTCGGCCTTCTTCAGGTGGTTGGAATTTAAATAATACCTCATCTCAGAAATATAGACAGAAGGAATAATAATAACTGAACTAAAAGTCATAGATTAAAAAAATCAGAATAAAGCCTAGTATTGCATTGCTTCAGAACTCTGCGTTTCTTGCCACTGCAAATATTCTCTGAAAGATGCTGTCTGGAATTATATGACTTGGAGAATAAGCACAATGTAAAATCTCCAGTCAAAAATAAAAACTGTATGTTAATAACAACTAATTTTAACTTGTGAACATTTCACAGTTTTCCTATTTCAAATTTCTGATGAATTCTAGTTCTTCAGTTAATGATTGAATAAGATGATGGCAAGTTCTACAACAATAAAACATCAGTAGAAATTCTATCACCTTGTTAAATATTTGAGCTTAACACCTTTAACAAAATATTGCAATAACATATGAATGCAGGCCGTTATTTTAAGAAGTAAGGGGATACAAATGAAAAGATTTGAAATTGACAACTTTTCCCATCTCATTGAAACAAATGTTATACACTTCTATCTTTTCTTCTTTCATTTATTTTCTCATCGAAACCAAGTCGTGTCTTTGCTATGTCTTTTGTTTTCTTGTAATCAAAATGGAATAATTCATTATTTATGAGGTAACACTTCTATCTTTCTCTTTCTTTTTTTTCACTGAAACCAAGTAGCATCTCTGATATGTCTTTTCTGTCTTTCCACATGATCAAAATGAAAAGTACATTATTTATGATGTATTGGCAGGGCGTAACGATCACACAAACTAAGGAACTAATGAAAGCAGGGGCATGCACAATTATCATATGATAATAATAATAATTTTTAACATTAATACCTTTCCAATTCTTTTAACAATAGCCTGAGTGTGAGTATTGTCATAAGGAAACAAGTCTTGGATGTGGCCGGATTCGTAATTGATCATGCAGTACTGGTTTGAAAGTGCAGCACAGATGTGAGCTCCATCCAAACCCTGAAAGAAACATATAAGAATATTAAGCAACAAACACATTATAGGAACTAAGTCCTATTTTTCAACTAATAAAACCCCATCAAAAGGTTTGTTTGATAAACAATAATTACTAGGGCAAATACTGTTAAAATACTTGTTGGACGTAGTTGCAAACCTACCATGTGTTATTTCTGGACCATTTAGAAAATATCAATAATAACTCCCTTCACCACTTCTATAATTTCAAGTAAAAAGATTTTCGCAAGCCAGAATGAAATTATTTTCTAACCAATTCACTTACGGTTGCAGTTCTATTTGAAATTAGATTTGGATTCTCTTTATGGATATGAACTTAAGACAAAGGATGAAATCTACCAAACTTTAGTATCTTTCCATTCTACCAATATGACTACTAAACTACCAAACAAAAGCACATTAACAAGGAAACATTTTTCATCAGCAAATTTAAACCAAAACTCAATTCATTACATAGACTAGAGGCATATCCTTCAAAATAGATTATATCATATTTTCCTTACCACAAGGAACAGATAAAAGCAGTTATGTCCCTTGATTGTTTTCTTTTATTTCTGACTTAAACAGTAGCACGGGTTAACCTAATAAAATTTTACAAAGTTTTTGATAAGAGAAAAGTGAAACTGGTTAAATAAAACAATTCTTTTCTGAAAACCTGCAAGTAAAACAGTTTTAATAATTATCTGTAAACAGACATGCATTATAAATATTACATATAAATATATAAAAACATTAGGTGTTTTTACAAATCTTATTATTTTCTCTATAAAGCAAGTTTTTGTACACACCTTTCTAACACTTTCACGAAATATATATATATATATATATATATATATATATATGTACCCAAGTATAGGATTGGTGTATATGGAATAAATTCCAATAACCAAAAAATGCATTTCGTCCTCTGAGGGATCTTATCAAGGCAATGCAGGATTTATTATGCTGTATGTATTTATATACACAGATACAAGGATGTCATTCGTTTATCAAGGCTTTTAAATTTAAGAACGTTCATGAATATTTATCAGGTGGTTAAAAGGTCAATCAAAACATGTGGAGGGCAGAAAGTGTCATAATTCAAAGTCTGGTGAAAAGTAAAGTGAGCAAGTAATATTTAATCAATTTTTTTTTTTTAATTTCAACCACTTAACCATGGCCAGTTACATATGACTAAGGCATCAGGAAGATTTGAACCCAAAATAAACAGAGTAAGATTCATTCCTATACTCAAGAGTTACCTAAAGATCAACAAATGATGGAGGAAGAAAGACAGACATAAAAGTGGTGTGTGACAGAGTGTGTGTTGGCTTGTAATAAAATCTCAAATAATTAAGCCTGTCTGGAGTGGAGGTGAGATTTGAAGACAGTGTCAGCTGTAAAGCACAATTCTTTAATATCTGTGCATTTTTATTAAGCTTTTCTTTTTTTTTTAATGAATTCATGCCAAACAAAACGATAATGACACTAAGACACAAGAGACTACCAGGATTAAAAGAGAAGACTTTAGAAGTAACTGAAAACCCAATCTTAAACAGAAAACACTGGAGTGTGAACAGTGTGATAGGTGTACCTATCTATTCCTTTGTGTGATGAACTTACCAAAGTAACTGCTTGGTCAATGAGGTTGATGTCTTTCATGTGAATCATTCGGTCTTCTGTTACTGTGTACATTTGAATCTGTTTCTTCTTAAGGGCAACGCACACCTGTATTGGCGAGAATAAACAATTATTAGAAAGTATCATTGAATGATATCAGTGTGAAGGAATAACTACCTGAAATTATTAGTATTTTATCTAAAAACAATAGAAATTAGATACGTAAACATTCAAATTCCAATATAAATTGCTGATAACTCTGAGAAGAGATATTTTATCAGACAATTCTTTATTGAGTTTGTCATAAGATCAAAGACAAAAAGATGTTAAACTGTCAGAAAATCATTAAAATCTGATGTAAATTTTTGATTATTAGTTGTGAAAGTGATTGTAGTAGACATATGGATTAAAAAAAAAAAGGAGACCAATATCGAAGTGATTTTATGAGGCATGACAAAATAATGGATTGTGGCTCAGATTGAAGAATCAGAGAGCTGAGTTCAAATTCAAGTCAAGTTCATTACATTTACTTATGTGTTAATAATCTTGGGAAATGCATGAATTGAACTGTTCAAGCAGTTATAGACAAATAACAGGACAGACAGGGTTCTATAGCCTTGGGTATCAAACGGTCTAAGAGAAGGAAAACTCTTAATTCAAAACTGCATGTAACCCTGGGGAAACATATGCAGCTAAGGAAAGGATCATTCATTTTGACTCAATGATCCCAACTATTGTCTTATGAGCTAATACTCTTGGGAAAGGTTTGAATCCAACTCTTCTCCTCCCACCCACCAGTTATGAGTAAATAGCAAGACAGACAGACGGTTCTATAGCCTTGGGTGTCAACCGGTCTAAGAGAAGGAAATCTCTGAATTCAAAACTGTATGTAACCCTGGGGAAGTATCTACTATTCAGCTAAGGAAAGGTTTGTTTGCATTGACTTTACTGTTTCCATGTTTTTTGTTTTCACTCTAGGCAAGGCAAAAATGCCACTAAGATGCAAAGGATTACAGGGAGTGAAAGAGAATGAGAAGACATTAGTGAGGAGAAAGGACAATAAAAGAAGAGGATTCAGAATGACAGAAGATGGCAAGTGATGTTTCATTTTTATTTATTTTCATTTAATCATTAATTTTTTTCATATGATTTTTAAGAGGACGTATTACAATAGATATTTATAGTTGTTGATCTTTGACATCTCATGCTACTATGCATAAAGAAATGTTGTTATTTTCATTATGTTTTAAGACAAAAGTAAGCATTATGTTTACAAAATTCACTTAATTAATCCTTAATCACTTTTTTAAAATCATTTCACCCCAAGTTAGGTGGTAATGACACTAAGACACAAGGAATTACTGACAGTGAAGGAAAATGAAAAGATGTTAGTGGGAAAAAAAGGACAGTAAAAGAACAGGTTTTAAGAAGACAGAAGATGATGATTGATCTTGCATTTAAATTTCTGAGGACTGCAGGTGGCAGGGAAGCAAGAAATTGGAAGAGAGTTTCGCAGTTGAAAAGTGTAACAAAAGAAAATATTACAATAGGATTTATTTCAATGTTTCAACTGTTGTACACTCTGGCTTTCTTCAGGTTGTTAGAATGTCGAACTGAACTATTTATTTCACTCACTGGGGTAGACTGTTCTAGTTCCATGTGCCATATTTAATGGATGTCAGTTATCTCCTGTTAATTCCCCTCTCCAAGTTCTCCACTGCCTTAACTGGGTATTGAACTCATACTCTTTGGGTCCTGTCACTGGATCTAACTAACACCTTTATCAACTGTGCCATGTGTCTTGATATGGCAACAAAGATGTGGACATCTGTGTAGTGTTACATAAAATGGACAACAAAGATGTGGACAATAGTCCGAATAATGTAAATAGTGTACATAATACCTCATCTCAGAAATATAGACAGATACTGAAAGGCTGAAACGTTGTAATAAATATGGCGACAAAAATGAGGACAACAGTCCGAATAATGTAAATAGTGAACGTAATACCTCATCTCAGAAATATTACATTATATCAAAATAGTCAAAGGAAAATTGATATTGTCTATATTACTTAATGAAACATATATATATATATATATATATATATATATATATATATATAAGACTGCAGATTGTGTGAGTGTGAAACTTGGATTATGACTAGGGCCATCCTTACATAAGAATTAATGTTGTCAAGTAATTGTTGCTCTGTCTAGGAAATCTAGACCTTGAGCACTTTACTGAGTCAGTAGGTGTTTGCATTTAGGTCTTTCATTCTTTGAATTTTTATCTTATTTAAGTTATTTAGGTCTTTTGGGAAGTTGTTTGTTGGTTTCACCAATCATTTTAGTTTTTCTTATATATATATATATATATATATATATATATATATCTCAATGAGGGAAAGTTTGATAGCTCCCCACAGCTTTAGATACCTGTCAAAAATCCTTTGAAATTTTAAGAAAAACAATGAGTTTGTTCATGCCTTCCCCACCAAAATGAAATAAAAACTCCCAGTGCCCCCTTTTAGTATAATAGAGCTCACAAGGGGGCACTAGCACCCATGTTGAGAAACACTGATCAAGACCAATGGCGTTTTCTTCTCTGGAGACCATTACTCTGACAGGAGGGTCATGGCATCTCCTGATGTATGAATGTGATATCAGTAAGTTTATAGTTTTACATTTTGTGGCTATTGTATCGGGGAGGAAATACTCACATCAGAAAAACCTTGTTGTTGGTTCAGTCATTAACCTTTCGGTATGCCCTCTTTGCTTTCGCTTGCATGAAACATAACCATCAATGTCCTTTTTCTCTTAAACTGATGGGATTTGAAATCCTGCTACGGGTGGGGTGATGTGTCCAGTCAGTGAAAGACTGTATGAAGACACTGGATTATCTAAATCTGAAAATCCACTATTACAGAAGCAGGATTTCAAATCCCATCAGTTTACAATAGTGGATTTTCAGATTTAGATAATCCAGTGTCTTCATACAGTCTTTCACTGACTGGACACATCACCCCACCTGATGTTGCATTTTGATTCTGATTCAGTGTGCACAAGAAGTAGAGAAAGCCTTGGAGTACATTCACAAGATTTATTTGTTTTTTATGGCTTATCAACCCCTTTTGCAAGTTATTTAAAGCATCAAAATATTTTTAGATGGTAAGAATTTTTTTTTTTTTAGATAATAATGGTTTAGTGATAAATGTCCTACTAATTAACTCAGTGTCTGTCAACTTTTTTAAGCAACAGCTCACCTAGGAGCAAATGAAAATATCACAGCAGACTTAGCAAAATTTTAAAGTGTATATGAATGTTATGAAATAAAACCATAGATTAAAAAAAATACACAAATATGGACTTAATTTATTTCAATATTTCGATTCAACTATTTGTGCAGCTTATTTAGTGTGAAACCTGTGCCTGGTGGTTTTTTGTAATTTAAAAATAAGTTTAATACTTATTCATTTATTCAAATAATAATGCTGTACCATTATTATTTTCACACACACACGTACACACACACATATATAAATGTATACTGTGACAACTGACATTGCATTTAAATTTTTTAAGGTCAGAGTTGACTGGAAAGCAAGAAGTCAGAAGAGAGTTGTGTACATAGCCATAAAAAAAAAAACTGTCATGCTTCAGACCCATATAAAAATCATACAAAGTTTACTTTGTGGGTATTCTAAGCCAATCATTGGAACCAGTCTCACAAGCTGCCAACAAACACATGTTGACAAATTTCACAACAAATGTATTTGCTTTACAGATTGGTTGACTTGAAAAAATTTAGTCTTTAAAAAAGAGAATGTTGTTTTATCTATTTAGCCACTTGCAAGATGCAGACAAGATTTCATATGAGTTTTAATTGGTTTTTTTTTTTTTGGATTATCAACCTTTTGCAAAGTTCTACTAATTAACCCATAGTTGGGGGGAGAGAAGAAGTGCGTTCATACCTTTCTCAACGATATTTGTGTCTAAGTGAATAAAATAAACCCCTGCAGGATTCTCATTCACAGAGACAGAAAGTTAACTTTTGTTGATTAAACAAAACAAATGAGAATCTGAATAAAAATATGTTCAGTCAGACGTACAAAAAAAAAAGAAAGATTTATTTATAATTCTAACAATAATTTTTGTAAAATTAAGAATGATGGATTAAAATCCAGTGAAATAAATTTGGCAATCTCTTTCATGAATTCCTGTCTGAAAATCATTAGTAATGAGAAATCACATTTTTTGGGGCCTTCTTACATATAATAGCCCTATTCTATCAGTAATGCTTGGACAATCCCTTTCTTCCTGATTTTCAATACATTCCTATAGTGGATAGTGATTCAAAATAATTTCTAGATGGTGATGAAATCAATCATTGTCACTAATGCAATGCTAATACCACAAAACTGTCTTGATCCATGTGGTTAAACCTAGCCCTATTCTATCAGTAATATGCTTGCAATTTTGTTTCATCTACATATAATAGCCTATTATTCACAGATCACCAAAATGCACAAACATTTTTGAATAAGACCCTATTCTATAGATCACATGATAAAGTAAAGTAAAAATGTATATATCTATCAGTAATGGAATTAATCCCTTTCTTCCTGATTTTCAATGTCTAGTAAAATCACTATGCGTTTAGATTACTATAATAGATCTACTATTTGGCATTCATTCCTGACCAATGACAATCCCTTTTTCCTGATTTTCCTGCAATATTAAAATCAAATGCAGTACTATTAGTATGAGTTGACCATTTGAAGATTTCCTGATTTTCAACAGTAAAATCATTGTTCAGTGGCATTATTATATTCTTGTAAAATTGCATTCCTTCCCACCAATCCCTTTCAAGGTCATTATACATATAATCTATTCTACTAACAATTCCGACCAGACAATCCCTTTCTTCCTGATTTTTGCATTCCTATAGTAAAATCATTATAATGCATTTACATTATGACATTTATCAAAGTGGCAACGAGCATTTTACATTATACATATGTTCTATTCTGACATCACAAAATAAACATTTAAATATGCAGCATTTCAATTTAGATTTTTCTATGATGGATGACCACTGACAACCTTTCTTCCTGATTTCCTGCACGTTCCTATAGTAAAAATCAAAAGGTATGTTAGCATTCATTTTTCCATGGACAAGGAAGTAAATTTTGCAATGCATTTACATTAATTTACCTCAACACTGAAAGGATTGCATCTTTTAGTAAAATCATTAGGATTCATTATGTTACATATAATAGCCCTATTCTATCAGAGACAGAAACACGTCACTCCTTTCACTTTGGCCCCGCTAATAATGGGCTGGAAAAGAAATTTAAAAAAAAAAAGAAAAATCAGCTGTTGATGAAAAGAAAATATTGAAAAAGAACAGAAAATAATTTGGTAAACAAAACAATATTTGAATTCTCATCATGTTGCATACAAATGTTCTTGAATAAAAAAATATCCAAAAGTTGCAGTCAGACAAGTGAAGATACAAAAAAAAGAAAGAATTTATTTATAATTCTGAACAATAATTTTTGTAAAAGTTAAGAATGATGTGATTAAAATCCAGTGAAATAAATTTGGCAATCTCTTTCTTCCTGATTTTCAATGAATTCCTGTAGTAAAATCATTAGTAATGCATTTACATTATACATTTAATAGCCCTATTCTATCAGTAATGCTTGCATTCATTCCTGACCAATGACAATCCCTTTCTTCCTGATTTTCAATGCATTCCTATTGTAAATTCATTAGCAATGCATTTCCATTATACATATAATAGCCCTATTCTATCAGTAATACTTGCATTCATTCCTGACCACTGACAATACCTTTCTTCTTGATTTTCAATGTATTCCTATAGTAAAATCATTAGCAATGCATTTACATTATACATATAATAGCCCTATTCTATCAGTAATGCTTGCATTCATTCCTGACCACTGACAATCCCTTTCTTTCTGCTTTTCAATGCATTCCTATAGTAAAATCATTAGCAATGCATTTACATTATACATATAATAGCCCTATTCTATCAGTAATACTTGCATTCATTCTTGAGTTACTGAATCACTGCATTCATAGTAAAATCATTGCTGAATCGGGAGTCACAAAGAGTCACACTTGGCAGCCTTGGGATGACACTGACTGCTGTTTTTGTCAAATCTTTTAGCAGCAGCAAAGTTGGCAGCATATCTGCATTTCACCTATTAGATAGCTCTCAATGCCTCAAGGGAAGCAAAAAACTTACTGATGTTGAACCTCATGATTGTGATGGTTGCAACTTTTATATTTTCTCATCAATTAAGAATGTCACTAAGATTGAAATATCATCTGATCCACCACCACCACAAACAATGTGACCACCAGTTGAGGTGAATATTTCATCTGAGCAGGTACACGTTATAGATTTCCATTAGACAATATACGCCCAGTGAAAAAGATGAGAAACGGGAATAGCCACGGTCAATTCATGTATCCTTCACTGAACGATGATACTAGGGATCTTAATTACTGAGTAAAATTTACATCAGACATACAGTGACTGGAGAACAGTCAGTCCCATGTCATATTTGGTGACCGGGGATCGACTAAGTATTATACTAATTATAAAAAAAGTACGAAAAAAAAAAAAAAAGAGTACTATTTTTTAACAAGGGAAAACTTCTCTTCTTGAAAATTCTTTTAAGTCACAATACATTTACACTAATTACTTGCTCAATGAATATGTCTAACAAACAAACAAACAAACTATGTCGACAACAAAGTCCAAATGTCACAATCTAACAGCTATCACCAGTATTTAGTCATACAAAATAACTTTATGATGTTCTTTCCTCAACCCTATCAATGCTAAAAACAGACATACACTACAGTTCAAAAGTTTAAAGCCACCCTCAGAATTACCATGGGATGAACTTGACAGAAGAGTGAAAAAAAAATGAAAAAGAGCTCTTAAAGTCATCGAAAAAAAAAAATGGAATCAATTATTAAACTTATACTTTGAGAAACTTTTACAACAAATGCCAAAAATTTGTACTGCAGTAATCTTACTTATTATAAAACGCAGATTGTGTGTGTGTGTGTGTGTGTGTGTGTGTACGTTTATATATTGGATTTCCTACATTTTTCAACCGATTTCAACAAAACTTCACGGGACTGCGTAAAATTACCTTGCGGTGGTTCTGACAGCGCCAAAAATTGGAAAAACACAATTGCTTTTGCATGAAACTAGTTTGAAAACACGATAAAACACGATTCTATCACCAGAATGAAAGGGGGACAACTCATATCAAGTTATACTTATTATAAAACCCAGGTTTTGTGTGTGTGTATATATGTTCGTTTATATATGGGATCGGATTTCCTACATTTTTCAACCAATTTCAACAAAACTTCTTTTTTTTGGCAAGTAGTGTTTCTTATTGTCTTGCACACTTTTTTCTTTATTTTTACATTCAGAATGCTTTAAAAATTCCATTTACAAGACAATTGTTTATAATAAAATTCTATTCAATCGATAGTCTCATAACGATTGAAAACAATGTTTTTGTTTGAGTTTGGGTTTGACCAATTCGTAAAAAAAAAACAAAAACAAACTAATTAAGACATGCGTGTCCGTCAAACAATAATCTTTGTCAATTTTATTTTTCAGTCTTTATGATGGTCGATACTTGATCTATCTCTTACTGTTACATCCCCGGGCAACGCTGGGCTCTACTGCTAGTCAAGGCTAAAGGAGGATATTTTGACAAGAGCAAAATTGCATCATAAAATCCTTTTTTTCTTTTTGTCATCATAAAATTTCTAATAAACAAATTATATCTCACTTTTTTAACCATGTATAATAATGGTTAACTTTAGACTTGAGCAGGTTAAGACCGTAGTGATTGAGGAAACATTGTCTTGGGAATTGGTTCTGCAAAGCAGTGCTTCATGAGAAGAGGCTGCTCGAGTGAAACTTACATCTCCCCAAATGGAATTCAAAGGAAATGAGAATGGTTTGCTAAAAGAGCTAATTGTTTTATAATGATTTTCACCCTGTACAAGGCCTAAGAGCCACTCAAGGTAGACGGTTAGAGAGTAAGTAGTGCAGTGTAAGTGAACATATAGAGAAGATAACGGTGAATCCTCTTGGGAGTTGGTTCTACAAAGAAGCGGTATGTGGTGGAAAAGCTACTCAAGTGGAACTTACATTTCACCAATAGAGTACAAAGGGAATGTGGGTGGTTTGCTACAATGGGCGTGGCAATGCAGGTCTTAGACATGAAGGCTAGAACTGGTGGAACTAAGGAATGTAACATTTTCCATAGAAATAGCAATAGAGAGTCTTGCAATGTTTTGTCTGTGAGAACAGGGTTGTAGGGTGGAAAATAATTTCTTACCCCCAAGGACGTAAAGACGTTTTTGAATTCTGTCGAGAATGGAAAGTGAAGACTGTGTAGCTCCTGCTCTTATATGGCAACATTACTCTTTACTAACATTTGGATTAATGTCCGAATCTTTGTTGTCATTATTACAACATTTTGGCTGTTGTACCTTCTGATCTCCTTCAAGTATATGTTGATCTGCATAACATTCAGGGAATTTTAAACAGAAGCCTTTAATCTACAGGAGTAGATTGCTCTTATTGTCCTGTCCATATCTAAGGACATCATGTCTTGTTCTTGTTTAGTACTGTTTAGTTATTTTTCACCCTGTATTGAACTCACAATTACAATACCACCAAATCAATCTTATTTGTCCAATGCACTCTTTTCACCATATGTTAGAATGTCATCCCTCCCACCCTTTCCAAGACTGACACAAAAGATGCGTTCCAAATAATATGCATATATTATTGAAAATCTTCATTATTTTTCATATTAGTACATATACATTTACGTGGATTATTTTTATATAGGAGTTTTACAAACTAGGAACAGAAACATTAATAACGAGTGGGAAGAGAAAAGAGTAATCAGGAGGACAATAGATAGCAATTGACACTGCATTTAAATTTTTGCAGATTAAAGTTGGCTGGAAAGCATGGAGCCAGAAGGGAGTTCCACAATTGAGAAGTGCAAGAAAAGAAACTGTTGCAGTATAAACCACGTGTGGGCTCTGAGGATGTTGAACAAACACAAATGTGCCTGGGTGGGCATCTGCAACAGTGATTGGCTATGCATACTCTGATACTCTTCCTAAATTTTATGAAGATGCACCATTGAATGAGAACTCCTGCAAATAAATGCAATCTTAAAAAAAAAAAAAAAAACAGACATTTCAAGAAGTGCTGAAAATTCCCCCCACCACAAAAAAAAAAAAAAAAAAAAAAAATGACTCACCTCCAGGTCAAACATATTCAGTAAAGTCAATATATTGTCACATAGCAAGAGGATTCGATTCAGAGCCGAAGCTGCCTTCAACTGAAGGACTGGTTTTTTCTAAAAAGGAAAAAGCAAAGAAACAATCAGAATTCACGTAAGAAAAAAAAAAATATTTTTCAAGTTTAGCTTCGTCTGGCATAAGGTCACAATATTGGAGCACTCTTAGAATGAGGAAGAAAAAAGAGAATGATAACTTGTGTTTATTATTATTATTAAGAGAGAAAACTATCACTGCTTGTAATCATTTTAGAAATCGCATCAAGGCCATGATTGATTGGTTTATTTTGTTTTACGGCATATCAACCTCAATGGGCTATTTAATGCTGATAACATTTTTAGGATAGGTTCGCATGAATAGAATATGTATTCTTTGGTTTAGATTGGTTTTGTTTATTACGTTTTATGGCATATCAATCTCAATGGGTTATTTAATGCCGACAAAAGTTTTTATTGCTGGTAATATTTTGTTTTGTCAAAAATCTTTCTGGTAATATATTTCCTTCAAAATTGTATTGCTGGTAATAATTTTTTCAAAAAAGTATTGCTGGTAATAGTTAACTATTTACCCATAGATGGGACCCTAACAGGTGCAACCACCCCGGGTCAGGGTGGACCTGGGAACACCAGCAATTAAGAGGTGGTCCCACGCTCCTCAAAACCTCCTGATCAGAGGCCTTCCTGCTGGATGTAGTTTATCATCTTACCCAGGATGTGAATGTAGTTTAACGTCTTTCCCAGGACGGCAAGGCCATGATTGAAGCTAACAATAATGAAAAGAATTGTTTTGTGTAAGAACATCTTTATTAAATTCTGTGAAATATATATTTGTCTTTGATATATTATATGATTTACCTCAGATTAAAATTTGTTCTCAAATACCTGATGCCTCCTGTTTGTATTTGTAAGGATTACATAAAACTATGACATCAGAGAAATGCAGTTTTTATCATTGGTAACTATCAATCTGTGTCTTATTCATGTTTAATCAATTTAAGTTAGTTTTGAAATACAGAAAAAGTATTTTGCTTGTTGGAAATATTAAATTTAGTCTATTAGCTAGAGATTAAAACTAAAATAAAAGTTTCAAGAAAGATTTTTCATTTTAAAAAATACATTTTAAACCTTAGGTATCATGTTTCTATGGTAGTACCTATATCATCTACTATATAAGCAATTTCAAAAGGAAAACTCCTTCCAGTTAATTTAAATTAGTTTTGAAAGACAGCAATGTATTTTGCTTATTGGAAATATTAAATCTAATCTATTAGCTTGAAATTAAAAACTAAAATAAAAGCTTCAAGAAAGATTTTTCATTTTTAAAAATTCATTTTAAACCTTAGGAATCTTGTTTTCTAGTTAAAATAGTCATGAGGTCAATTCCAGAGTAGTGCAGAAAAGTTATATTCTCTTTTAGTGGAAGAAATAAATAAATGGCACAAAGGTTACAGAGAATTGATATGTGATAACATGTCAGTGGAGAGAGTAAAAGAAGAATAATTCTCCCACCTGTAGATTGAATAAAGGACGAGTTCAAAACTCCAAGATTACCAAATTCAAAACAAAGTTTTTGTTATAACAACCAAAATGAACATGCTAGTCTGAATAGAATGAATTTAATACAGTGTAACCCGGATATAAGAGAGATTTTCTCTGGTCCCAAATTAGAGCCTGTGTTAATGTATACATATAGACCAAACCCGGATATAAGAGATTTCTTCTCCAGTCCCGACAACTCTCTTATATCCGGGTTACACTGTATTGATATAGTTTTATGCATTATTTAAAATAAAGGGCATACAAGGTAAGTGAATGTTGAGGTTGAAATTCCTGACCACTTAATCAGTCGGATTCAGATCAAATGTCCAAGAAGTTTAATTAATAGAGCAGACTGTTATATAAGGCTGAAAAATATAACTGACAAAGTGCTGTGCTTATAACAATCAAGATGAGGACAGTCGTTTGAAAAAATATAGAATTTAATCTCAGAAGATTTAATTTTTTATCTTAAACTGATGATTTTAATTTAAATGCAATGGCTATTAAAAATGTAGATTTACCATTTCCATTAGATTAACTTGACAGGAGTGAGAAAGATGTGGCCAATCAGGGAGAGGTTTCTCCAACAGGAGTGAGAAAGATGTGGTCAAGCAGAGAGGTCTTCTTCCAACAGCACTGAGAAGGCTCTGGATTTGAATTTTGTCCTTTCTTTGTTGAGGCATAATTTTTGTTTGTCTAATTAAATCTTTTCAAAGACAATAACTTTTGGGATTTGTGGGTGATGTAATGAATATCAATGTGGAAAGAAGAACTGGCAATGAAAATTCAAATTCCAGGCTAGTTTGTTGCATCCATTTTTACACCAGTGCCTTTGGGAATGGCAAGACTCCATTTCTTCTACTTCCAGCTATGGGTTAAATAGCAGAGTAAATTGGTTTCTCTAAGCCTTTGTTGGCAACCAGTCTAAGAGAAGGAAAACAGATTTTAAAGCCCTAGCAAAGACAATGGGATATCTCTCCATTATCTTGTCCAAGAGGTCATGGCAATTAACAAATAATAAAGGAAGCTGTGAAGAGCCATGATTGCTTAGATCCTGGATGGACATAGCATTTAAAAAAAAAAAAAAAAAAAAAAAAAAATTATCTTGGATTGTTCTTTGTATAATTATTGTTTGTCTAAATTATTCTTTGCAAACTTCATTAATAACTTTCCAGATGTCATTGGAGTTGATAAATACTTTAAAATATTTGTGCTTACATTTGAAGTTGCTTTTTATTTTATTTAAAAATAGGGACACTTGATAATTGAATGTTAAAACAGAATTTTCTGACCGTCATGACAAATTACTTACCAAGCCCAGGTATTTGTGTTGTTGCTTCTCACTTGAGAATACAACCTTTCCAGTTGGGGAGGAAACGCTTTCCGTAATTATATAATGGACAATAAAACTGAAAAGAAACAAAAATTTAAATAACAAGAACAGAAAACAATTATAAGTGTGTTGTATTTACTTTGATCTTAATTTTTAATTGTTTTTTATCACAATTTAAACTGTCAATAAAAATGATGAAAGGAAATACTAGGCAAAAATTAATAATAATGTGACACTATTTGACACTGATAAATGGAAAGAAATGGGTTAAATCAAAAACATAGCTTGGAGCGAAGTGAGAAGGGTTAATGACTAGAACGATGGACAGACCGAGAGAAAGAAGAAAGATTTCTCTTTTCTGAAAGAGAAAACCTTTACTTTTAAAAGAATCAGAAAACATTACTTGAAGGAAAGTGATATTACCACAAAGAAGCCATGTGGCGATCTTTAAACTGACAGCTGATTAATGAGGCTGCCAAAGAAAGAACTAGTTACGAAAACACAATATAAGTAGGACAGATAAGATTTGATCAGAAGAATAGGCTTTCTTTGTGTAACCAAGGGTGCCTAGAGTGCAATGACCCTGGCAGGGTTGGGGGAATAGCCGGCTGGAGGAACCACATGGTAAATTTCTGATTTTTTGTAAAACCAGGCTGAAAAATTTCGCTTATACGAAAATCCAAATGATAATTTTAATGACTGTAAGTTAAGCCATGCCAAGTGGTCAAGAGACGGATTAGTCTAAGGGTAGCCAAGGTGGCAGGTGAAATATCAAAAAAGGCAGAGGAAAAGTATTGGTGAGAGGTGCCAAGATAAGAAAAGAGTTGGGGGCGGATCAATATCCTGCAACCACTCCTCATAGAATAAGGAATCTCCCCAAAATTGGGCATGTAATTAATTTCCCGGAGCCAGACAACAATGGGCTCTTGTTGGCAATTAGGGGAATCACCAGATCCCCAGGCCGTGCCATACGCCATGCCAGTTTCAGGTAAAGGTTCATATAAACATGAGATCAAAGCATTCGAGAGACAGTTGTTCCGGATGAGAGACGACCACTTACCTGATCTCACATGACTTCCTGCCTGAAAGAAACCTCCGACATAAACCTTGTGCCAGAAGCCTTGTTCAGACTTAGCTAAACCGACCAAAGTGTTGTGTTTAACTTACAAAAAGTGGGAAGGGCCAATATTTTCTGCATGAAGAACTAATAATTTTTAATATCAAGAATTAACCAACTCCTGTACAAAGTTTGTATATATAAAGAAATTCTCTTTTACTTGTGACTTCATTCTGTCTAGACCAAACCAATACAACAATTCCTGTTGACAATTCGATCTTTGACAACCTTATGATCAAAATCAAACACAACGTGGGATAAGGCAAGGCTCGGATTGAAGCAGTCAACCCATCGATCAGCCACAGGGATTAGACACTGAATAGACTGTCCAAGAAGAAGGCTACAATAATGGTTGACAATGCTTCATCTAATAAAAAAATAAAAAAAAAAAAAAAAAAAAAGAAAAGTAGTCTAGAAATACATTACTTGAATTGTATTGCATTCCATATTTGACGACATGTAAATCCCAATTTTCTCTTTAAAAAAATGACCATAAAAATATCTCCCATGTTTAATATGTAATTTTGAGGTATTTGGTTGGCTAATATTTACTCATATATAGGTAACCAGCACTTGGGCCTAACTAGCATTTTCTAGTATTTACTCAAACATCATTGTTATTATTAATATTATAGCAATAGTAATTAATGTATAAAATATTATTGATGAATTGGAATCAACAGAATGATAGGATAAAGAACAAATAGGAAATGTTTATAAATATAAAATGTTTCACTTTTATTAAAGCTTTGGAGAATAAGATATGGAGAAAAGAGAAAAAAAATTCTGGTTATTTTTAATTTTTGTGTTGCTTGTTTCTTATTGGTTAAGTAGACTTCATATGCATCTGTCTTGTCAAGCAGTGTTTGTGTGTATAATTTATGTGTGTAAGTGTATCATAATTCTAGTTTGTTTAAAATGGGATTTGAATGATAATGCATATGTATTTGTGTGTATATATAGGGTATATGTATGTAGGCATTTTTACCTATGTTTGGTGGTATTCCAAAAATTATAAATACCAGAATTTGTTCTTTTTCTTCCTTTTTCTCCACATATCATTCTCTGATGAAGCTTTAATAAAAATGAAACGTGTTAGCTTTATAAACATTTCATATCAATAATAATATTTAATATTTACCTATAAATAGCTCCAAAAATATTTTTCTTAATATTATTGATTGAAATTGGGTGGGTGATATCATATATCACATGGCTTAGTGGATAAAAGTGTTGAAGTAATACAATGACTTGATCTAAAGAGTTGTGAGTTCAATACCAGGCTGCAGCATAGGTGAACAAAACTTGGAAAGTCGAGGTAACTGAGATATTCACGAAGAGGCATAGCACGTGAAACGAGAACAATTTATCCTGGTGGATGAAATAAAGGGTTCAGTTTGAAATTCCACTCACCTGAAGAAGGTTGGAGCGTACAATGGCCAAAGTGTTATGAATATGGCAACAAAGATGAGAACAACAGTTTGGACAATGTAAATAGCGTAAATAATTACAATACTTCAGAAATACAGACAGATATTAATGTTAGTCGAATATTTCTATAAAGGACTCGACCTCTAGCCCACTATTTGAGAATGCATGGTAGTCAATTTATTTAACTGCCCAAGGGAAGCAACCCTTGATATTAAAAGGGAGTTGAGTTGCCTCCCTTGTCTTCTTGATGATCGTGTTTTGCCAGGTTTGGCTGTGCAACTGTTGAAACAAATGTACTTCAGCAGACGTCTCCAATAGAGATTTGCTGGCTACACTAGTAATGTTACTTATAGATGTTTTTAAACCTGTAAAGCATTGCAGCTGCAATTGATATCTCTTGCACAAGAGAGCTTTTCCTTCAGGTGAAGGATTTTTTTTGGTATTTCTTTTCAGGATATAGATAATCATGGCACTCCACATCTTCTTTATTATCTGTAAGTTGCCATGCTTTCTTGGTTTCTCATAACCTTTACAGTTTTGAATTCAGAGAAGTTGTTCTCCTAAACAGAGTGAACCTGCAAGAGCCCAGTTTGTCCTACTATTTAACCCATCGTTATGGGGGAGAAGAGAAGTATTCATGCCGTCTCTAAAGGATATTAGTGCCTTGCTCGGAATCTGAACTCGGCTCATCAATTTTGTCTCAATAACTATTACTGAAATCTGTAGTGTTATTCATTAATTAAATCTATACCTCTTTAAATCTAAAGTTGGCTGTTATCTTTCCTGCTTAGACCCAAAAACTTAATTTCTTGTCCCTTCTTATGCTCATACAGTAATCATCTACCTTGAGTCGCTCTTGGGCCTTGTATTGGGTGAATATTAGTAAAAAAACAAAACAAAAATACATAATATTAGAAGCTAGAATTAACAGTTAAGCATGTCACGTGATTAAGAAGGGGGAGATAATTCATACTTACCAGTCACTTGTGCCAATGTAAAGATTTTTCCCACAAACTTCTATGCATTCGATCTGTATAAGAAATCAAGAGTCCAAATTTTAGAAACCAAACTTATGTCGACGAAAAATAGAAAAAAAAATCCAAATTGAATTCTTGAAAAGTTTTCTTATCTAGTAGACTTCTTTTTAAAATTTTAAAAGCAGTACATTTTTTCTGGTTGTCAGGGTTGATGTTGATCTGAAGTTGTCTTACACCATTTGTAACTTTTTTAAGTTAATATTTTAGTAAAATAAGACATTAATTCTGTATTAGAAATTTGACCTTTTGCAAAAGAAACAAAAAAAGGATGCAATCATCTTTTATGACATCAATTGGACATGGCAGGACCTCCTCTACTACATCTCAATTTTTATCTAAAATATAAATTTTATTGTCATCTAATTATGCACAGTAATTGATCATATGCAATACTGGTAAACAATTCAAGTTGAAAATAAATACAAAGTATCTAAATACAAATTAGAGACCTGTCATAATAGATCATTCTATCTTAAATAAATCAACAATGTTTTGCAGCAATTTTTAACATCAACCTCAGATTTTTCTTGATAAAAGTTGTATAATTTTAACACATTCAACATTATTGATAAAAAAAAATAGTGAATTTTATATTGTGTTGTTTTCAAGACTTAGCATGAGCAAAAACAAATTCATGGTTTTGGACACCCCCCCCAAAAAAACACAAGAAACAAAACAAACCCAAAATGATGTCAAAATTTGCAGAAACTTTTCAGCCTTTAAAAGTCAGCTGTGCTTAGTTTAAGTTGTAACATATATAAATGTAGGTATAAAAAAGTAAAGGTTGATAAGATAGAGTCACATAGCACTGCCTGGGGTCTCCAATGAGACCACCAGAAATTGGGGGGGGGGAGTATGTACCGGCCCTGGCAAGGAGATAAAAAAAAAAAAGAAATTATTATTTGTAACAAAAAAAATACATAAATCAATAAAAAAATGAATCTGGTAAAGTTTTATGAATAGAATAAAAATCATTTAATGTACATTCTGACCTTAATCATGTGCTTGGGTCACCTTCAATGAATTTCAAACTGAACAATTTATTTAATCTACAGGAGTAGATTGAACTTATTCCACTGATCATTTCTAGGGAAATTTTATCTAGTTCTTATTTAGTAGTGCACAGTTAGTGCTCATCTCATTAAAAAAAAAAAAAAAAAAAAAAAAAGAAGGCAACCCAGGTTCATAATTGATGTGCATAATTGAAAACTTTTGTTTTAATTTTGATAATCTTTGTTTTTTTTACAATGAATAATTTTCTATAGACGTGTGAAAGCATGTGTGATACCCTGACCTTGTCAACTATCAACCAAGGGAGGTAACACACTTTTGGTGGCTAAGGCAGTACTGCCACCCCTGGCACCACCAGCAGCTTTTGCCACCAGCATATTGTTTTTTGTATAGATGTTTCAGTCTCTTGCAATTTTTTGATATTTTTACAACTGCAAGTCAGATCTTCAACATTGTATTAAAAGCATTTGATTTTTTTATCATTAACACAGCACACTCAGAGTGACTTTTATCAATGACGTAGAATATATTTTTTTTTCTTTTCATAGAGTTCACACCCATGCAAGGCAGTAATTCTTCAACTAATGCTTTTATCCACCAGGATAAAAGTGTTAGTTGAAGTAATCCAAAAAGTGACTTGACCCGAAGAGTTGTGAGTTCAATACCTGGTCACAGCAAAGTTAAACAAAAACTTGGAGAGTTGAGTTACCAAAGGGAATTAACTGATACTGAGATATCCAGAAAAGGGCATGGCACGTGGAACTAGAAAAATCTACCCCAGTTGATGAAATAAAAGGTTCAATTTGAAATTCCAACATATATCACCTGAAAAAGACCAGAGCATACAACATCCGAAACATTGTGAATATGGCAATAAAGATGAGGACAACAGTCTGAATGATGTAAATTGTGTAAATAAATTTTGTCACTTAGGTGATTGATGTTATATTCAGTACCACTCCCCTGGAGTTTCATAGACAAACCTTTGTGTAATTGTTCAGTCCACACGTCAAGAGGTATCAGCAATTGAAGATTATTTATGTTTTGTTTATCTCTCTATCTGTTTCTATCTCTCTTCCTTTTCATATCTATTACACTTATGTGATTACACATGCACCAGAAGGAGAGGGAGTGTTGGAATTTAATTTTTTTTCATTTACATAGCAATCTGATTAACTTTTATAAATTTAAATTTTTATTTTCCTTTTGATATTCATGACCTAGAGTGCAGAAACTAAAGAAACAAAAAAAAAAAATGATTATTTCTGGTACAGTGCCTAACATAGCCAAAACTTCTGGGCCCAGGCCCTTCATTCAATTCACAGGGGTAAATTTTTATCCTTCTACTGTCCCTGGTAGGTGATATTTTGTATCAGTTAATTCTTCCAAAGTAACAAAGATGAAGTAGCTGATAATATTTTCTAGCATGCAGAGTGGGGTGAGAACAATCTACCCCTTTGGGTTTTTTTTATCATTTCACACAAACAAGGCAATAAATCCACTGAGATGCAAGGGTTGACTGAGTGTGAAATAACATGAGAAAAAGATAAACATTATTAAGGAGCAAGAACAATAAAAGAACAGAAATTAAGAAAACAGAAGATAGCAATTGACATTGCATTTAAATTTTTGAAGACCAAACTTGACTGGAAAGCAAGAATATGGAAGAGAGTTCTGCAAGTGAGAAGTATGAGAAAAGAAACTGTTAGCTTAGAATTTATGGTTTACTTCTAGTCATTTCAATTGTAAAATGAGGAGATTTTGCCATCAATTTAGTACTGCACTTAAATTTATAGAGTTTACATACCAAAAAGTAAAGTTCATGAGAACAATTACCATGAAAGTATTTATAGAAAAGGCAGAGGGAAGCTAAGATATGGAGGTGGGAAAGTGACTGGAGTCAAGATGATGATATTGTTATTATAAATTAGAATGTATCAAAAATATTTTCATTTTTTACAGCCCTTTACTTCAAAGCTTATTTCATATATACATCTAAAAACTGGCTATAATACCTCATTATTATTATTATTATAAATTAGGGTGTATCAAAAGTGTTTTCTTTTTTTATGAACCTTTACCTCAAAGCATCTACAGACCAGGATTCCACTATATTATCATCATACTTATTATAAAACCCAGGTTGTGTGTGTGTGTGTGTCTGTACGTTTATATATTGGATTGGATTTCCTACATGTTTCAACCGATTTCAACAAAACTTCACAGGACTACGTAAAATTACCTTGCGGTAGTTCTGACAGTGCCAAAAGTGGGAAAAACAATTGTTTTTGCACAAAATCAATTTGAAAACACGATTAAGAGGCATCGCGAGAATGGAAGGGGGACAACTCATATCGAGTTATACTTATTATAAAACCCAGGTTGTTTGTGTGTGTGTGTGTTCCTTTATAAATGGAATCGGATTTCCTACATTTTTCAACCGATTTCAACAAAACTTCACTTTTTTTTTTGGCAAGTAGTGTTTCTTATTGTCTTGCACACTTTTTTCTTAATTTTTACATTCAGAATGCTTTAAAAATTCCATTTACAAGACAATTGTTTATAATAAAATTCTATTCAATTGGTAGACTCATAACGATTGAAAACAATGTTTACGTTCGAGTTTGGGTTTGACCAATTCATAAAAAAAAAAACCAAACTAATTAAGACATGCGTGTCCGTCAACCTTAAACAATAATCTTTGTCAATTTTATTTTTCAGTCTTTATGATGGTGGATACTTGATCTATCTCTTACTGTTACATCCCCGGGCAACGCCGGGCTCTACTGCTAGTCATTGATAAAGCGACAACCAACCTTGTCTATAAAAAAAGGTAGTATGCATATTGCTTGTAACATTTATCTGGTGCCATATTGACAGAAGTTAGATGATGAACATGAATGGCAAGACTGATTTGTATGCTTAAGCCAGATGCATATGTCGAGGGACCTATTTTCCATTTAAAATTTTCCTGAATTCCATTTTTAATATAGAATCCCATTTTTTGCTTCATTATACTTAGTGAGAAACTGTAACAGTATATAAATGTTATTAAAACAAGAAAATAAAATTATTAACATTTTTGAAGAAAGTCTAACTTGTAAAAATTTGGCTTTCTGAAATGACGAACTACACTCCCCACCACCATGTGCGATAAGAAAGAATAAAACAAAAAGACAAAATTTTTGTTTTACCCATCACCTTTCTTTTTAAATCAAGCAAACTTTGTAAAACTTGGTTCCTGTAAATTGTAGGAAGATAGTAGGTAAGGAGGTTGTATTAAAATATTACTGACTTTATGATTGGATGTCTGTTGGATGAGTAAATTTACAAAAGGCAAACATATTAACAAATAAAAATGGCAGTTGGCAAATCTAATTGTTAGAAATAAGAAAATTTCAATTTCAAAATTGTGATTTCCATTTCAAGTAGGCCATTCTGTTTTTCTATCCGTTTTATGGACACAAATCATTTCACGTAAGAAAAACACCAACATTGAGTGAACAAGTATTAAATTTTTTCAGCTTGTTACTATGTGGTTATATTAGTGAGACAAGAGAATGAAAATAATAAACCACAAGTCATCTTGGCTAAGTTTTGGTCTAATGTGACCCACCCACAAACCTGTGCACTTGGATGATCTCTTTGAATGTACTTAAGCTCCTCTATATCAGCATTTCATTAGTAATCTTAGTGCGCATTCTTGCTGTTTTGGTTGTAGACTAAAAAAAAAAAAAATAGTGATACTTCGGCTTAAGTTATTTTGAATAAATCATTTTCAAAGATACGTCAGTTTTTCTTAAATATTATATGGAAAAATAAAACTTGGGTTGTTTTACTAGAGTTTACATTGACCGTTAAAAAATTGGAAACGTTGAAACACTAAAATAATGGTAAACACATATGAAATCATATTTAAATAAATTTAAAAATAATAATATGTATACTATATATATATATATATATATATCATAAAATCATC